ACGCTCCAGCCCGAGACTGGGGAGGAGGAAGCAAGAGGCTTCCTGTGGCTCCCAGCTACTGCGGGCATAAGCCAAGGTTTCCAGCAATGTTCCTGCACTTCCTCATGGGGTCACAGTGGCTGCCGCTGCCATGGTGGTGGTGACCAGCTCGTCCTCGGAGGCCTCACCCCGAACCCACTCCTGCAGTCTCCCCAGGGAATCAGAAACCCCTAACTCTTTCTGTCTGCCCAAACTGGCTGCAATGGTTTCTGTTTACTGCAGCTGAACCCCCACAGCTCACAAATCACTCTTCCTCTCCACGGAGCCACGTGAGAGATGAGAGAGAAAAGTCTAGACAAAGGGATACACAGTCACGAGTCATGCTTATTATGATTTTCGTAAAAGCATTGTAATCAGATCCCATGTCCCTGGAGAGAATTAGAAAAGTACACAAAGACACAAAGAGCTACAGAAAGACCAAGTTGTTAGCCCATAAGTATCAATCATTGACGAGAAGAAAATAATCAGCCCCACTGAGATGCTGGCCCTGATTGGCCCGCGGCTGCCACTCATTTGCATATGGGAGTACTGGCTTAGTCCCCCGGGAGCTGGAGCTGACAGGGCTCACGTAGTAGCCCGGGAGTAAGGGGGAGGAACTGTGGTGATGATCACTTACCCTGGCCACCACCCTCTAGTGCCCAGGGATCTAATTCCACCTGTAGCATGAGGGTGAACCTTAGTATCTTCACCCTGCTCGCCTCTGGCCTCCCTCCATGGAGCTGCACTGACCACCCCGTGGCGGCAGGGCGTCCTCCGCACCCCTCCAGCTCCAGCTAGAACGAGCATCCGCTGGAGCTTTGACAGTGGGACTTGGCGAGGGCGCGGCCGTCTCCCGTCTCCTGATCCGAGAACAGGAACTGTCCCTTTATTTAGATCTTTGTTTCTTTCAACCATGCTTTCTGGTCCTCAGAGTGCATACGTTGTACTTTCTGTTTATTCTTAAGTGTTTTTTTTTCCTTCTTTATGTTATGATTTATAGAATAGTTTCTTAATTTTATTTTGATTGCTCATGGTTAGTTTTTTAGAACAAGTGATGACTTTCTTTTTTTAAAAAAGGATTATTCATTTATTTGAAAGAGAGGTATTGAAAAAATAAAAAAGAGAGGGGGAAATAGAGAGAGAGAGAGAGAGAGAGAGAGAGAGAGAAATCTTCCATCCGCTGGTTCACGCCCCAGATGGCTCCAACAGCCTGGACTGGGCCACACCGACGCCAGGAGCCGGGACTCTGATGCAGGGTCACGCATGAACAGATTCCCCACACAAAGGCCAAGAGAGCATGGAGGAGTCAGAGCAAATGGGAGACGCCCCTGCCCGGTGGGACCCTGTGGCAAGGGGCCAGCGGAGGCTGTGGGAGCCCCAGTAACCACGGTGGCCAACCCCCTGTCTGTGACTTCCCCACCAAGACCGGAGGCTGGCGGTCAAGGCTGCCCATTGGTGCCAGCTGCACCAGCTGGCATCCCAGCCACACGGCAGGGGGAGGACAGGTAGGGAGGGGTGTGAAAGGGCAGCCGGACACTGGACCGGAATGAGAGACATGCTCTGTTCACTACACACTGAAGTGCCGGCAATGAGTGTGGACATAAAGTGTGGGTGCCTCCGCAGGGCCCTGGTCATGAAAAACACCCCCCGCCCCTGCCTTCCCCCACCTGCTGTCTGCTCCCCAGATGGACAGCATATAAAAAAGGCAGCCTAGGTCCTGGGTCCCCAGTGATCCCTCCCGCTCTGCCAGGAAAATCACCCAAGATGGAGAAACAAATCACATCAAGATGTCCATTTCCATGCCACACCCAGCGTTAGCGGAACAAGTGTGGTGGGAACAGACCCGCCAGGGCTGACTTCCTTGGATGTGGGCGGGGGGTGTTGATCTGAGCGGGTCCCCTCATCCTGGGATTCTATGAATGGGTTTGTGTCATTGGAAAGATGCTTTGGCTCAACCCGATGATGAGGTTGGGCCACCCACCACATTCGTGCTCCTGCTATGTCAAGGGGGCCGAGTGCTATTGGCGCTGGTTCTGAGCCCTGGTGGTCAAGGGCTCTGCTGTCTTAGCCCGGAGTTGAGGGAGCACTCTCTGGCAAGCCAGGACCACAGCCCAGCCCCAGTCATGTGGGCCTTTGGGGAGAACTGGAAGATGGGAATGTGCTCGCTCGCTCACTTGCTTGTTTTTGCTCTCTCTCACTCTGTGTCTCTCTGACTCTCAAATTAAAGAGAAAAATCTTCAAAGGCTGTTCTCACTTGACATTACGTCTCACAGTGCTTATCACCACCTGACATTGTATCCTGCATTTATTTGTTTACCTGTCTGTGTGGTCACCGTGGTCCTTCCCAGCTTCTGGACTCCTATCTTGTGTGGAGCAAGTGCTCAATAAGTACTTGTTAGAAAATGAATACGTGGCCGGTGCCGCGGCTCACTAGGCTAATCCTCCGCCTTGCGGCGCCGGCACACCGGGTTCTAGTCCCGGTCGGGGCGCCGGATTCTTTCCCGGTTGCCCCTCTTCCAGGCCAGCTCTCTGCTGTGGCCCGGGAAGGCAGTGGAGGATGGCCCAGGTGCTTGGGCCCTGCACCTGCATGGGAGACCGGGGAAGCACCTGGCTCCTGGCTTTGGATCAGCATGGTGCGCTGGCCACAGAGCCCAGCTGCAGTAGCCACTGGGGGGTGAACCAACGGCAAAGGAAGACCTTTCTCTCTGTCTCTCTCTCTCACTGTCCACTCTGCCTGTCAAAAAATAAAAAGAAAAGAAAATGAATACATTATTTTACTAGAAACTTCTCAAGAGTGTCACATGGCAAGCAGGGCAGAGGGCAAGCCACTGGCTCTGCAGAAGCAGGAAGCAAGCCCCGGAGGGTGACTTCAGCAAAGCCACTGGGGATCCAGGGAGCCTGGGTCCTTCGGTTCCTGACCAGGGGTAGAGCAGCTTTTTTAAAAAAATATTTATTTATTTATTTATTTGAAAGTCAGAGTTATACAGAGAGAGGAGAGGCAGAGAGAGAGAGAGGTCTTCCATCCACTGGTTTACTCCCCAGTTGGCTGCCATGGCCAGAGCTGTGCCGATCCGAAGCCAGGAGCCAGGAGCCAGGAGCCAGGAGCCAGGAGCTTCTTCTGCGTCTCCCATGCGGTGCAGGGGCCCAAGGACTCGGGCCATCTTCTACTGCTTTCCCAGGCCGTAGCAGAGAGCTGGATTAGAAGTGGAACAGCTGGGTCTTGAACCGGCACCCATATGGGATGCCGGCGCTTCAGGCCAGGGCGTTAACCCGCTGCGCCACAGTGCAGGCCCCTAGAGCAGCTTTTGACACAGCCCTGGCACATGCCCCAGACCTGTAACTGGTCACATCTAGGTCCCACCCAGAAATGTGACAAGGTGATGAGAAGTCATCCCCAACAAAGAATTCTAGAAATGATTGGGAGAGAAAGGTGACACAACTGTGCACAGAGGCTTTTTGGTGCCTTAGTTCTCACCCACCCCTACTACTTACTCAGATGGTGGGCTCTCCGTCCTTGGGGGGTGTTCAATTAGGGGCTGACAACCACTTACACAGCTTGCCTGAGTTGGAGTGTTTTACGCACCTGCCAGCAGGTGGCAGGTGCACTGGGAAGCTCCGCCCCAAAACCAACACAAAAGAGGCTTTGCGCCACCTGGTGGACGTGGTGTCAAACTGCAGGTCTCTCCCCGGAGAGCAGCCTTCTGCCGCTGTCTACATAATCCCACTTGCCCTGGGTTCTCCCAGACCCCTCAAGGATGGGAAGGCCACAACCCGTCCATACCTCCAGACCCCCGCATCCCAAAGGGAAGCAGAAGGGGATCAGAAGCCTGAGGGACTCTGTGTTGCCTTCCAGGCACCGCTTTGTCCGTGCTGTCCCCGGGCACCCTCCCTAAATATGGCGATAGTCAGCTTCACCCCCGTGCCCCCCACTTATGTGCAGACCTGCCAAGGCCAAGGCCCATCCCCCTCTGCATGCTCACCACCCCCAGCCCGCCATATGCGAGCCACTGATCTACAAGGGGCTTGGAAACCTTAAAAATGGAGATGGTGAGGACAATGTTTCTTAAACACGCACATTCTGATCTCAGAACCACCCACTTTAAATTCCCACCCAAACTAGGGGGCTGTCCCACTGGGCCTTAGTTCAGAGGGGCCGCAGTGAGCCAGCCAGTGGGGAAGGCTCCCGTGCACAATGCCGGCTTCCCACAGCACCTGGTGCTGGCATTTCAGGGGTGCCGGGCCCTCGCGTCGCGCATGTGTGCTTTCTGCCTTTCTCCAGGAAACCTCTGAGCCAACACAGCAGTAGAAAATGCACCAGGGCCAGTGTCATAGCCTAACGGGTAGAGCCACCCCCTAGACGCCAGCATCCCATATGGACATCAGTGCAAGTCCCAGCTGTTCCACTTCCGATCCAGCTCCCTGCTAAAATACCGCGGAAAGCAGTGGAAGATGGCCCAAGTGCTTGGGCTCCTGCACCCATGTAGGAGACCTGGAAGAAGCTCCTGGCTCCTGACTTTGGCCTGGCCCAGCTCTGGCTGTTGCAGTCATTTGGGGAGTGAACCAGCAGATGGAACAGCTCTGTCTCTCTCTCTCTCTCTGCCTTTCAGATAAATAAAATAAATCTTTTTTAAAAAGTATCATCTAACTAAAATAAAGTGTGAACCAGGCTCCTGCCCAAGACGGGGACTGAAGCCAGTGCTGGAGCAAAGGGAAGACATGAGACAGTGCAGCCGGGACAAGGGAGCGGCGCCCAGGGTTCCCAGCAAGGGACAGGGGCTGCGCCATCCGTCTCGCTAATGGACTTCCCAACACGCTCACTTTTCTCCAAAGCTCTTTATTTGCTGCCGACACTGAAGTCAGGTGTCAACAGCAGAAGAGGCTGGGACTGGCGGCGACTTTTCCAGCCCTGGCCATCTGTCTCCTGGTTCCGACACCTGCTGTGGGAATCCCCCCCCCATTCTCACACCGGGAGTTTTCCCACCCCCCCCCCCAGTGGAAAACAATGGACATCCACTTGAAGCTTGGTGCCAGGTCCACAGCAGGGGTTCAGTCTTCGAGATCCATCCCCAGACCAGGGCCCATGCCCCTGGGCAAATGGAGAAAAGGGTGGAGCCCCGCCCCCCATGGGGAGGGCAAGGGGAAAGTTCCAGAATCTGGGGCCCCTGACCCTGTGGTGCCAGTGCCGGTGCGGCTCACGGTTCCCGGCCACTGACAGCCATCAACACACTGGCCAGCAAATGTACCCGGGGCAAGTGACCCTGGGCACAGTGCCGAGACTGTGAGAAATGGGGCTTCAGCGGCAGCTGCGCGCCTGGCCAGGGCTGGGGCTCGGCGGGGGTGGGGAGAGTAGCAGCGCCTCCCTTTCCAGCTCCGTGGCTGGGAGGGGCTAGGCGTGGTGGGGGGTCAGGGGGCCACCCTGGAGCCTGGCCAACGGGCTGGGAGGGTGCAGCCTTTTCCAGCAGGCGCCAGACAGAACAGCCTGGAGCTCCCCTGGCCTGAGCCTCCCCAGCCCCGAGACCCAAAGGCTGGGAGTCCCCGGGGGCCCACACACGCTCACAGGGCAGTAAGAGCACCCCTCCCCCATTGCCCCCACACTGCGTCCCTTCCTCCGGGCTGGCAGGGGCGGGGGCTGGGGGGGCGGGGGCTGTCCATCACTGGGACTGGGGAGGAGCCGTGTCCCTGCTGTGGAGCGGCTGAAGGTCCCTCCCAGCCAGCAGCCAGGTCCCAAGCACGTCACAAACGCGGCCTGGTCCCAGCCTCCTGGAGTGGCAGCCTCACTTTCGAGGTTAGAGACCGTGGACTCCAGAGAGGTGCAGCAGCCTGTCCAAGGTCACACAGCACACAGGAGGGCGAGGGATGCCAGGAGCATGAGGGGAGGGGTGGTCCTCATCCCCAAGGCACCAATGAGCTGAAAACTGCGGAGGAGGGCGGGGGCCAGGCAAACCGGACTGCTAAGGAGCTCAGAGCAGAGAAGTCGGGCCCAAGTGCATCCAGGGGCCCTGGAGGAAACGGGGCTCCGGCTGGGCAAGCCTCTGCCTGGTCTCTTCATCTCTAACCTCTGGGGGGCGGGAGGCAGGGGGCGTGAATTAAACAAGGTAAACCAGAGGCAAGGCCTGTCGCCCAGGCTGGGCCCCCGGCGAGCACCTCGCCGCGGTCATTACTGTGCTGGAGGCTGGCGTGGTCCTGAGCCTCCCTCCCAGGCGTGCCTCAGCGCCTCTGACGGGGGTTTATAAGCGCGCCCCTTTTGTGGATGGGGAACGATGAGTCTCAATGAGGCACTGCCATCCCCTTCCTGTGTAACACGCAGGGCTGGGCCTTGATGCCCGGCAGAGTGCAGACAGGTCGCCAGCCGGGCCAGGAGGACGGTCCAGCCTCGTCCTCCACTTAGCTCCATCCCTCCCGCCATGTCCTGGGTGTGGGCCGGAGGCTCCGAGCAACGGGCAGCCCTGAAGCCCCCCAACCCCGTGACGTCAGATGCCATCTTCCAAGTATAGAAGCCACCCTGGGAGAGCGGCGCAGCCTCTAGGGGACGCTCCGTGCCCCCTGCCCAGCCCCAGGTGCCTGCACCCAGCCAGCCCTCATGGAGAGACTTCCGGCATCTCGTCCTCGCGTGCCGTTCCATCCTGCTCCTGGCAGATGCCCTTGGCCCGGGCCGCCTTCCCTGGAGTCTTTAGAAACCTAGAATTCAGGCCCCAGGGGCAAATTATCAGCTCCCCCCCCCTGCCCGGCTGCAGGGGGCTTCCCGCCCGCCCAGCCCCAGCCCTGCTCCTCACCTGAACACGAGTTTCTGACCGGGTTCCTTCCTGATGATGTTGAGCTTATAATAGTGGCGCAGGGCTCGGGACAGCTTCTCGTAGGTCATATTCACTCGGTTCTGGAAGGTGAAGCGGCCCGTGTCAGGCCCCTGGCCCAGGCCCAGCTGTACCGGGCATGTGTGTCTGTGTGTGTGTGTGCGTGTGTGTGTGTGTGTGTGTGTGTGTCTCCCTCTCTGCTGCTCTGCCTTTTGAATCAACAAACCTTTTATTTATTTTTTTTAAAGATTTATCTATTTGAGGCCAGCGCCGTGGCTAACTAGGCTAATCCTCTGCCTACTGCGCCGGTACCCGGGGTTCTAGTCTCAGTTGGGGCGCCGGATTTTGTCCCGGTTGCTCCTCTTCCAGTCCAGCTCTCTGCTGTGGCCCGGGAAGGCAGTGGAGGATGGCCCAAGTGCTTGGGCCCTGCACCCGCATAGGAGACCAGGAGGAAGTGCGCCGGCTGCAGCGGCCATTTGGGGGAGTGAACCAATAGAAGGAAGACCTTTCTCTTTCTCTCTAACTCTGCCTGTCAAAAAAAAAAAAAAAAAAAAAAAAAAAGATTTCTCTATTTGAAAGAGTTACACAGAGCGAGAAGAAGCAGAGAGGTGCTGGCCCCAACAAACCTTTTATAAAATTCCTAAGTTAAAAAAAAAAATGATAGGAGCCAGCGCTGTGGCCTAATGGTAAAGCAGCTGCCCGCAGCGCTGGCATCCCATATGGGTGCCGGTTCAAGTACCGGCTGCTCCATTTCTGATCCAGCTCTCTGCTATGGCCTGGGAAAGCAGTAGAAGATGGCCCAAGTCATCTTGAGCCCCTGCACCCTCGTGGGAGACCTGGAAAAAGCTCCAGGCTCCTGGCTTCAGATTGGCGCAGCTCCAGTCGCTGTGGCCATTTGGAGAGTGAACCAGTGGATGGAAGACTTCTCGCGCGCGCGCTCTCTCTCTGCCTCTGCCCCTCTGTGTAACTCTGACTTTCAAATAAATAAATAGAAATTAAAAAAAAAAAGATAAGAATGTGGGGCCAACCACCCACGATCACCTGCCGCCGCCCCGTGGGTCCCGGCATCCCCCTCGATGGGAATTCGGCCTTCCCAGCCCAGACACCCGGCGCTCCCGCGGGCCAAGACACGGAGCGCTGCACACAGACTGTGAAAGCCGCCGAGCTGGCCAAGGCCGGGAAGAAGCAACGGACGACGGCGCCGGAGCTTCAGCAGTGCTGGCCATCCACCAGAGGCCCCTGCCGGTCCCCAAGCCAAGGGTGAAGGCCCCATCCGTGGAGGGCCGTCCCCCGGTGCTGGGGGTCCACGCTGGCCCCCGGGGCCGCCCGCGCCTGGGTATGCTACGCCCCCTGCCGGCCGGCTGGACTTCACCTTGTGCTTCCCCCAGAGTCCGGCGAGCCCGTTGGGATCCACAACGCGAAAGATCTTGGCGTCCTTGTCCTCCCACCTGATGTAGGGCTCGTACCGGGGATCGAGGAGCAGCTGGTACACGAAATCCCACAGCAGCCGGCAGTCTGCAACGCAGAACAGGGGTGAGGTGGGGGCAGGCGGACTCGAGGTCAAGGCGTGGGAGCGCAAGCGCGAAGATGAGAGTCATGGTGGGAGCAGGACCCCTGCCATCCTCCGCACTCCAGCGGGGGGCTGGAGCCCGCAGCTCCCAGTGGCAAGCGGAGCTGGCATTCTCGCCCAGCCTGCGCGCTCCGTCGGGGGTCCACGGTGGGGCTGCACCCCTGCCTCCAGATCCCCCAGTGCCCCGGGCTTCTGTGGGTCCCAACACGCACCCTCCCTCCTGCGCTGCTAACCGTGGGGCCCCTGCACCCGCGTGGGAGACCCGGAAGAAGCTCCTGGCTCTTAGCTTGAGCCTGGACCAGCCCCAGCTGTTGTGGCCATTTGGGGAGTGAACCAAGAGATGGAAGATTTTCCTCTCTTTCTCTCTCCTTCTCTCTGTCACTCTGCCTTTCAAGTAGATAAATAAATAACCTTTAAAACAATCCAATACTTGGGTTTTTAGTGACTTCAATAATTCCCTAGCCCAAAGCCAAGCTGCGCCCCGAGGTCCTTCCAAGGCTGCAAAACAGCTCCCCGCACCCAGCCAGCTTCTCTGCCCATCTGGTGGCCTATTAGTCATTCAACAACGAATGCAAACAGAAGCCACTGGATCTTGGAGAAGGCCCTGAACTCCTCCGTGCCTCAGTTTCCCTATCTGTGAAATGGGGCTAACAACAGGGCCAACCTCAAACTCTGCTATGGAATTAAGGAAATGGGCTGGAACGTTGCCCGGCACTAGGAAGCACTTGACAATTTGTGAACAAAGTTTTAAAAGGGAGGCTACCCCATGCCAACCAAACGCCTGCCTGTGGCTGCAGAATTGTGCCTGCCCTAGAGACGGGCTGGGCTTGGCAACCCAGACAGCCACCTGGGAGCCTGCACAGACCCCAGGTCAACACAGCCCTGGTCCTTATCACCCTGGCCCCTCTGCCCATCCCCTCCTGCCCCAGAGCAGTTCCCACTCACCAGCTGTCCTGCCGTCCCTGGGGGCCCGTGGCACCCTGGGGAGGAGGCGGAGCCTGGAGGTCCTGGAGCCCAGCCCTGCACAGCGAAACACGTTGAGGGTCTCCTCCCAGCCCAGGGGCCACTTGGCCAGGGCGAGGGCGTCCAGATGGCTGAGGGAGCCAGCGAGCCCCGGGTGTGGTGGCTGCTGCAGGAGGCCCCTGTAGGGGGCTGTCCGGGGGGGCGTGGTTCCCTCTGTGAGCAGATCTGAGCCTGGGGGTGCAACACGCTTCCTGCTAGAAGGTCGGGGGGGGGGGGGCTGCAGAGAGCGGCGGGCTGGTGGGAATGAAGCCAGCTCTCAGACCAGCTCCCTGTTAAATGTCCTACAAGGCTAAGCGGGTGGGGGGTGGGGGGAGGCAGGTGCTGTGGCACAGTGGGTGAAGCCACCCTCTGTGACGCCACCACCCTCTGTGACGTCAGCATCCCCTGTGAGTGGGCATCCTGGGTCCCAGCTGCTCCACTGCTGTGACCTGGGGAAGCAGCAGAAGATGGCCCAAGTGCTTGGTCCCCTGCACTCACGTGGGAGACCCAGAAGAAGCTCCTGGCTCCTGGCTTTGGATTGGCCCAGTGAACCAGCAGATGGAAGACCTTTCTCTCCGTCTCTCCCTCTCTCGCTTAACTACAGTGCCAGGTCTAGAAGCCAGCTGTCCTCTGCCCAGTGCCCACTCCACTGGGAATATTTATGGGGAATCCAGGCACTGGTCTAAGGATTTTGGCAGTACATCTCTGAAGCCACCCCATCCCATGCCCCCGACAAAAGACAAAAACAAAAAACAAAAACAAAAAAAAACCTGCCCTCATGGAGCTTATACTCTAGCAGGTGGGGGTCTGGGGGGGTGGAGAAAAGATGATTCATATAGGCCGGTGCCGCGGCTCACTAGGCTAATCCTCCGCCTAGCGGCGCCGGCACACCGGGTTCTAGTCCCGGTCGGGGCGCCGGATTCTGTCCCGGTTGCCGCTCTTCCAGGCCAGCCCTCTGCTGTGGCCAGGGAGTGCAGTGGAGGATGGCCCAGGTGCTTGGGCCCTGCACCCCATGGGAGACCAGGAAAAGCACCTGGCTCCTGGCTCCTGCCATCGGATCAGCGCGGTGCGCCGGCCGCAGCGCGCCGGCCACGGCGGCCATTGGAGGGTGAACCAACGGCAAAGGAAGACCTTTCTCTCTGTCTCACTCTCTCTCATTGTCCACTCTGCCTGTCAAAAAAAAAAAAAAAAAGATGATTCATATAAAAGGAGGGCGGGCATTGTGGCACAGCAGGCTAGGCTGCTGCTTTGGGTGCCCGCAGCCCACATCACAGAGCCAGGTCAAGTCCCGGCTCCAGTCCTGGCTGCTCAGCTTCTGCTTTTTTTTTTTTTTTTTAAGATTTATTTATTTATTTATTTATGTATTTGAAAGTCACAGTTACACAGAGAGAGAAGGAGAGGCGGGGGGGGGGGGGGGCTTCCATCTGCTGGTTCACTCCCCAGATGGCTGCAATGGCTGGAGCTGCGCTGATCTGAAGCTGGGAGCCAGGAGCTTCCCCTGTGTCTCCCACGCGAGTGGAGGGGCCCAGGACTTGGGACATCTTCTACTGCTTTCCCAGGCCATTGGCTGCTCTGCTTCTAATCCACCTTCCTACCAAAGTACCCTGGAAAGGCAGCAGATGACGGCCCAGGTGCTTGAGTCCCTGCCACCGATGTGGGAGACTCTGATGGAGCTCCTGGCTCCTGGCTTTAGTCTGACCCAGCCCTGGCTGTCATGGGCATTTGGGGAGTGAAGCAGCAGATAGAAGATTTCTCTCTCTCTCTCTCTCTCTCTCTGTGTATGTGTGTGTATCTTTCTATGTCACCATGCCTTTCAAGTGGATGAAAAGGAAACATTTAAAACATTTAAAAGATAAAGAAAATAGAGGCAATATACAATATGGGAATTAAACACCATAAAGCATATGGGAGCCAGAGGGCAGTTTTAGAGAAGCTGGTCAGGGAAGGCCTCACCAACAAGCTAGCCAGAGACTTGAGGAGATAGAGGACAAAGTGGCTCATGCAAAGGTCCTGTGGCAGGGTGGGTCTGGCTCCTCTGCTGAGGAAGGAGGCCTGCAGTTCCAGCGACATGACAGCAGGGGGCGCCAGAGGAGGAGGGCAGGAGTCATGGTAAGACCTGCAGCTTTGATGCGGTGCAAAGGGAGCCCAGGAAGATTTGAGGGAGAATGACACCACCTGGCTCTGGCCTCTCTGTGAGAACAGGTCACAGGACGCCAAGAGCTGCAGCAAGGAGACCAGCGAGACGGCAGGTCTCCCAGAGGGCTGGCCAAGCAGCTGTGGACGGTGGGAAGGGGCTGCCTGCGGCAGGGGGCGGCAGGATTTGCTGACCTCCAGCGTCTGGGTGTGAGCACAGCAGGGGTGGGGCTGGGCTGGGGAAGACGGCAGGGGCTCCTGGGGTCGAAGCGCCTGCTGGGCAGCCCAGTGCAGGCGTGGGGCAGGCAGCGTGGGGCGCGTAAGGCTGCGATCCAGAGCCACCGAGGCCCGAGTGGGAATCATGGGCCCAGGAACGCATCCCACCCGTCCAGCACCAAGTGTGGTGAGGAGAGGAGAGAAGAGGCCCCGGGCCTGTGCTCTGCCCCCAGTGACGTGCAAAAGGGGACAGCAAAGGAGTGGTGAGGGTGGGTGGAAGTCCAATGAGGCAGGGGGCCCGCAGGCAAAGCAAGGAAGGGCTCAGGGGTGCAGTTCAAGGACCCTGGGGTCCCTGCAGCCGCGTCCCATGGGGCCAGCGGGAGGACAGGAAGTAGGGACAGGCGGTAGGTTGGACAGGAGAGGGGCCAGGGGGAGGGGGAGAGGGCCCTCCAGATGAGGCAGATTTAGGGGAGGGGGCTCAGGGCTCCCCGAGGAGCGTCCTCACCTGCCAGGGGCCGTGGGGAGGGCCGCGCGGACAGCTGCCTCCACGCCCCTCCAAACCAGGGCCCGCGCGCCAGGGCTCGCCGCTGGGTCTTGATGCACTGGAGCAGCTCATACAGGACGTCACCTGGGGTGGGAGGGGGCAGGACGGCAGGCTGCGGTCACTGCCTCCCAGGGTGAGGGCGGGAACACCTGGAGGCAAGCTTTGTGCTGGGCGGGGGGGGGGGGGGGGGGGGGGGGGGGGGCAGGCTCCCACGGCTGCTGGCGGAAGTCCCGGCCTGGCAATGGGCAGAGCCCCCTGGTGAACCAACTTCTAAAAAAAACCTCTCTCCCCGCTGGGGATGCAGCTGCCCCCAGGGCCTGTCCTTTGCAAGGTCAGGCTGCTTCCCAGGCCCACTCTGTTGTCTGAGAACCTGTGGGCAGTGCACACACTGCACACCGTACCTCACATCCCTAGGAGCAGAGGCAACTCTCCTAACGCCCATGGGATTCTCCAGGCTTTATGAAGACTGTCCCTGCCTTCCAAGGCACAAAGCAATGGCAGACTCTTCTTGCAAGGTGGGAACGGGGCCCTGGCCATGGCACCAGTGAGAGGACAAGAAAGAGAGCAGTTGGCTGAGAGAGGCGTCCTGGGACCCCCAGCGGCGGTGGTCACTGGGGGCTGGGGCTCATTTGGCTTCCTTGGCCAAAGGCCAGGCCCCGTGGAACACACGGGTGTGTTTTTTTAAACATGCCAACTCAGCCTAAACAGGAAGAGGTGAGTAAACAGGGACAGGTGGGAGCCCGGCAGCTGAGGGCGGGGCCAGCCGGCGCCGGAGCCCGGAGCAGGGCGCCTGCAGGGCCCCCAGAGACCAGAGGGAAGCCTGACCTGAGCCGGGAGCGCGAAGCCGGAAATCGTCCTTGGTGAGGAAGCAGAGCGCGCGGCCGTTCATCTGGAAGCCGAGCTCGCTGGGACTCCGCAGCGCGTACTCCCGCTCCGCCCAGCGCAGCCAGTGCAGGACGTCTTCCCGGCTCCACAGGGCGGGCTGCAGGCCTGCAGGGGCAGCGTGGGCTGGGGAAGCCGGGGCGGACCCCTGGGCAGAGCCGGCCCTCGCCGCTGCCGCTTCAACCTCTGGCTTGTAGGCCACCTCCCCAAAGAAGCCCATCGGGATGGCTGCATGCACGCAGACGCTCTCCGGTCCTGCCCGGCAACCCCGTGGTCACCTCCCCTGTTACTGAGTTACTTGCCCCTCCCGGCACCTTACTTTGCAATTGCATTGTACATTTGATAAAACTTTTATTTGCATGTGTTTATCATTGCATATGTATCCACTTATTGCTGGTACCCCTGCCTGCTTCCCAATCATTCACTTGGCAAATGTTTACTGAGGACTTACTACATGCTGGGCCCTGGATGGGTCTGCTGGGGCACAGCAGGTGCTCACTAAACACAACTTGAACCATTGCCGGCAATACCCAGACGAGTGGCTATTTTATTTCTCCTGTTTTGCCACTCTCCTGGGCTTGTTATGCTCCTATGCCAATTAAAAAAAAAAGTTTTATGTATTTATTTGATAGCAGAGTGACAGAGAGAGAGAGAGAGAGGGAGGTCTTGCATCCTCTGGTTCACTCCTCAAAATAGCCTGGAGCCAGGTCTGAAGCCAGGAGCCGGGAACTCCGTCCTGGTCTCCCACAGGGATGACAGGGATCCAAGTATGTGGGCATCATTTGCTTTCGCAGAAGCATTAGCAGGGAGCTAGCGGATCACGAGTGGAGCAGCTGGGACTCAAACCAGCACTTCCCCGTGGGATGTGGGCGTGGCAAGCAGCGCTTAACCTGCCGCACCGCAACACCGGCCCCTCGGACACAATTATTGGCTTCCTTGGTTTGGGTGAGGGTGAGCATGGCTGTGTTATGACTTCTGTGGGCCCTCTGTGCTTTTGCCTTTATGGGCTCCTTCCTCCACTAAAAAATAAATAGCTAGGGAATGGTGTTTGGCACTGCGATTAAGACACTGCTTGGGACACCTGCGCCCCATATCAGAGCTCCGGGGTTTGAGCCCTGACTCCTCCTCTTCCGGTAGAGCCGATCTGCTAATGTGTGCCCCCGGGGGGCCAACAGACTCTGCTCATCCAGTCCAGTTTCTGCAGCTAAGCAGACTGAGGCAGAAGAGAGAGGAAACTGTCCAAAGCTGCACCTCTGTAATGACAAAGACTAAACCAACCTCTGCCTGCCTCATGCCCAAACAGCACAAGAAATCAAATTGGGTTCCATGTTCAAAGCGGGAAAAGCGTATCTGCCCCATCACTGCTCCACTCACTCAGCAATAGCTGATGCGCTAATGCACACGGGCCACCTGCCAGGCGGGCTCAGTGCTGGGGACGAGGCTGGGGAGAGGCCGGCAGGAGGAGGGTCCCACATGGGAACCAGCCAGGGGCGGGGTTGATACTGCCCAGCAGGCAGGGGCAGGGGCAGAGCGGCGGGAAAGTGAGAGATGCAGCCGGTTTGGGAGGACGGAGAAGTTGCCCTTCTATGTGAAAAGAAAGAAGAATAAATGTCTGAAGCCAGCCGGAATATGAATTTTAAGGGGAAAATAAAAAGAGTAGAAGCAAGAATTAGCCTTATACAGCATTCCCTACCACAAAGCCTCGGGATTACGATCTAGTGGTCACACACTATGGTGGACAGGTGTCGCTGGGAGAAAAGACGGAACTCCAGAATAAGAGTGTGTGTGTGTGTGTGTGTGAGTGTGTGTGTGTGTGTGTGTGTGTGTGATGTTAATAGATGACTGAGGCAGGATTTCTGTTTTGAGAGGCAGAGAGAGACAAATGGAGACTGGGCTGTCAGCTGCTGGTCCATTCTCCATATACCCCCAACAGCTGAGGCCAGGCCAGGGCCAAAGCCAGGGGCCAGGAACACATCCAGGTCTCCCACACGGGGGGCAGGGACCCACATACTTGAGGCATCACTACTGCCTCCCAGGGCGTGCATCAGCAGGAAGCTGGAGTCAGGAGCCAGACCCAGGACTCCGAGCCAGGAGCTCCAGTGGGGGACGTGAGGGTCTTAACCATGAGGCTAAATGCCCATCCCCTTTATTTTGTTTTTATTATTATTTTTTTTATTTCTCTGGACCCACTCCATTGCTTTCCTCTCCCCGCTGAGCCTTGATGAGTGCTGTGACAATTGCAGAAGGTGGTCCTCAGACCTCCAGCAGCGGCATCCCCATGAGCTTGCCAGAAATGCAGTCTCGGGCCCCTCCCAGACCTGCTGAGCCAGGTTCCCAGGAGATTTGCCCTGGGAACCAGCTGGCCCAGGAAGGCAGAGCAGCCCAGGTGGCTCCTGTGCCCAGTCTCTGTCACTGAATGAGGCTGCGGGGGTGGTCACACAGGGGGTCCTGGGGCCTGCACTGTAGCCGCATCCCTGCCTCCTGCCCCACTCACCGGCCATGGGTAGACCTGCGTGGATGTGCACCAGGGCGGGGGCACAGTGGGAAGCCTCTACCCTTTCCCAATCCTGCATGAGGGTCACTCTGCCGGAGCCCCTAGGGATCCCTCTCCCCACATGTCCTCCTAGTGGACTTCCCCTTGCTCTGCTGACGATGGTCTTTGTTTACCAAGCAAATGCACACCCCCAGGGAGCTCCATGGAAGACGGCCTGTGTGCTGCACTGAGCACCGACTCCCAAAGCTAAGCACCATCCCTTGGGTGCGTTCACTTCCTGCAGAGGCAAAAATCTGCCCTGATTAAGGGGGTAGAAGTCGGGGGTGGGGAACAAGTGTCAGAGAGGTGTCCCGAGGTGCACATCCGGGACCCGAGAAGGTGGGGCCCGAAGGGCTGAGTCAGCCCCGCCTCCCGGGTCACCTGGCAACGGTTTGCTTATCAGGGATGCTGTTGTCAGGGAAAATGGGTCACCTGGTGTTAGACAAGAACTGAGGGCCAGCACTGGGCTGTCTGAATACTTCCAGAAGTTTCATTAAAGACGAGTCACGGAATCTAAGATGACAGATACAGAAGATGTGGCTGTCACCCCTGCACTCCAGCCCCGGGCTCTGTCTGGGGACATTTTTTCTGGCTGCAGGAGCTCCCCTGAGCTGATAAATACAGGGGAGCGTGGGCATGCTGGAGAGTCCATTTTCAAAGAAACAGCCCTCACCCCATCACCGCTGGGCAGGGGGTGGTAAGGCCCCAGCTTCCTTACTGTGTAGCTGGAGAACTTTGGGTGTGTGCCATGTGCTCCCCGGAGGTCTGCAGTGGGCACGAGGTCCATGCGCCCACGGGGATGATGGCCCCAAGAACAATTTATGCTTTTTCTTTTCTCTCTCCCCCCCTCCGCTGCTCCCTGGTGTTCTAGGATCTGCTCCAGGGAAGTCTCAACAGAGGAGCAGGAGAAGTGTCACAGGAGCGCTAGTCTAGGATGCAATGGGCCACAGCCTCTGCTGTGCTACCAGGGACGAGGGCGCCCTGGAGGGGAGGAATGCTGCCACTGGGTGTGCGGGGAGACTGGCGACCCCCCACCCAGGCCTCCCACATTCTTGGGAGGTCTTGGTGTCCCTGAGGAAGGCCCCTGGTCTCTCATTCATTCAACAACTGCTGAGTGAGCCTCTGAGCTTGGGGAGGTCGGTCTTTCAGAAATTCAACCTCCCAGTGCTTGGAGGAGAGTTGTAGGTCTTGTGTTTGAACCTCACTATGGGAAGTGCGGCTCAGAAGTTGTGTTCAAATTTCCACCCTCAGGGCTGATGCTGTGGCATAGCGGGTAAAGCCGCTTCCTGAAGCGCCAGCATCCCATATGGGTGCCGGTTCTAGTCCCAGCTGCTCCACTTCTGATCCAACTCTCTGCTATGGCCTGGGAAAGCAGTAGAAGATGGCCCAAATCCTTGGGCCCCTGCACCACAATGGGAGACCTGGAAGAAATTCCTGGCTCCTGGCTTCGTATCGGTGTAGCTCTGGCTGTTGCAGCCAGTTGGAGAGTCAACCAGCAGATGGAAGACCTCTCTCTTTCTCCTCTCTCTGTGTGTAACTTTCAAATAAATAAATAAATCTTTAAAAAAAATTTCTGTCCTTGGGGCTGGTGTTGTGATGCAGCAGGTGAAGCTGTGGCCTGTGGTGCCGGCATCCCATAGGAGACCCAATTCAAGTCTCAGCTGCTCCACTTTCAACCCAGCTCCCTGCTAATGCACCTGAGAAAGCAGCGGAAGATGGCCCAAAGTCCCTGGACCCCTGAACCCGTGTGGGAGATGCGGAAGAAGCCCCTGCTCCTCTCAAGATGGGTGAAGTCATACCCGACGTTCCACTTCGCTCTCAGCTCTGTCCTCTCAGCGGCTCCAAAAGCTGGCTGTGGCCAGGAAATCAGACAGGTGTGAAATCGCGAAGGCATGTTCCAGCTCCTGGGCCGGCTGAGCCAGAAGCAGCCCGGATGCTCCATAACCAGGCTAGTCCGCAGCTGCCCAAAAAGCCCACCCAGACCACAGAACACAGCCAGCGGGCAGCCGGCACCTGTCCGCTGATTTGCACGACTGACAAAGCGCATGTTAAAACCTCTTAGAAGACCATCAGCAGGACCAAGGTTTGCCTTCGCCTCCACGGAGTCCCTGTGTGATCTGAGCATGCGTATTCATCTGCGGCCAGCTCGGGAGGGAACACAGCCTTGGGGAGGAAGGCTCTGACCGCCGACTCTCCCCCGGTCATCTTTGGGTGAATTTGGCTGTTCTATATGTCTTGCTTATGCTTCTCTGTCCTTGCCCAGATTTTGACAATAAGCACATGCGATTTGGTAACAATTGAAATTAAACAGAAGTATTTCCAAGAAGACTCTGCGTGTATGTTACAAGTGTTCACGGTTTAGCTTCCCCACTGGCAATGTCCCCGACTCTGTCTTTAAGTTGGAAGAGATGCGGTCACTCACTCAACTCCAACCCTCATCTCTCCAGGGAGCACTGGCGCCCTTCCGTGTTTGCTGTATGCCTTCTCTGATCCCTCCCCAAGGAAAAACTGAAACCCAGCACAGCAGTAGCAAACGACAGAAGGCAACTCCTTAGGTGAGAAGAGCTCTTCTGCACCCCTCTACTTACGGAGTCTCCCGGGCAGCTTGCAGATGCCCGCCCCGCCCGGTAGGTTCACTTGAGCGTCACATGGGGCTCGGCCGTGGGCTCCCGGGGGTGGTCGAGCTGCTGGCGGGCGGAGGGGAGAGCCAGCCGCTGCGGGCTCCTAGTGAGAGCGAAAGCGAGGGCATCAAAGGAGAGCATCCTGGGAAGGCTCGGTCTCACTTACGGTGGCAAGAATTATTTCAGAGGGGAAGAGAGGGAGAACGGCTCGGGGGACCCCAGGGGCTGGAGCTAGATAAGCCAGCAGGAGAAGTGTCTGAACCCAGGGTCCGGCCAATGGAGGACGGGGCTGCACAGTCCCACCGTCAGCCGTGGCCACCTGAGAGTGACTGACTCACCAGGCTGGGGGAGGAAACCCGTGGCAGGATTTGGTGGAAACAGGAAGTTGCCCCAAGGTGCAAAGGAGAAAAACCCGGCATTTCCCCACTGTGGGAGCTCCCAGAGCTGTGTGCTCAGCTCCTGAGTCCGGGAATCAGGCTGCAGGGAGAGACTTTGGGATCTGCTGCCAGCAAAGCAAACTCCAGAAATCACGGTGCGCAGAGCAGGGTTCAACCCTTTTGGGGTAGTTCCCAATCACTGCTGGTGGGCCCCTAGCCTCCCTCCCCAAGTTGGTGCTGTTTCCCAGGCAACCAAGCCTGAGAACCTGAGGGGTGGGGCCAAGGGAGGGGTTACTCAAGGCCTGGTCTTGCCTGGGACTCGCAGGAGGTGCCTTGTCTACTCCTCCTGGGCTCCAGCGAGGGATGTGGGTTTGGAGAGAGGGCAGAGAGGGGAAAGCTCTCGGAGGCGGTGACAGGGGCCCCGTCTGGGGAAGTTCTGAGGCTCCTGGGGGAAACAGCAGATCTTATAGGGGTCGCTCCGGAGGGGACGGGGTGTCGTTGCCTACTGCATTTGCAGGCTGCGAGGATATGGCTTGTGGGGGGACTTCACATATCGTCGGTGTACGGTGACAAGGAGGCAAGGGGACAGCAGTGGGGGGGCCTGCAGGGCCGTGCGTGCGCCTTCGGAGCCGCACTTAGCACCGAGGGGGTGTGACCAGCGTCTGCGGATGCGGGGACCGCGGGGGCGGGGGCGGGGGGTGCATGGAAGGTGAGGTCTTGGACTGCGTTGGAAGGTGAGCGAAAAACAGGTGGAGGAGGAAGGATCAGGGCCGGGTGGCTCCGAGTGCGCGCTGTGCGGTTCGGTCGCGGGGCTCTTACCTGCATTACAGGTGGAGGCTAGGGAGTCCCCGGCTTTCTGTCGTCAGCGCTCCCCTTGCCGAGCCCCTGAGGCCCTCGGCCTCCTCTCCCGAAGCTCCTCACTGGGCGTTAGAAATGGGAAGCTCGCGAAGCAGGAAACTCCTGGCGAGAAGCGCCCGGGCGAGTGCGTGGGTGCCCCGTCGAGCAGGCGCGCACGGAGCTCCGGTAATCGCTATCCTTCCGGGAAACGAAATCGAAAGAGCCGGATCGGGCATCCTCGGGGCAGGCTAGGGGCGGCCCCTTGCGGGCAGAACCCGGGGATGCTGCACGCTGGCCGGCGCGGGAGGCAGGGAGCCCGGCTCGCGGTCTCCCGCCGGCGGCACTCAGCGCCTCGGGCAGCCTGGCCACGACTCCCAGGGGGGACTGAGGCGGGACTCGGCGGGATCCGATCGGTTGGGACGCTGCCCCTGACCACCAGAGGAGCTGTCTGACACCTTTCCCAGACAGCATCCACAGTGTGCGCCGAGACCGGAGGATCAGGAGGCTCTGAAGTGCGGAGTGGGCACCCCACGGAGGGCAGCGTGGCAGGGTCCAAAGCAAAGCCACAGACCACTTACTCCTGGCCCGGAAGTCCTGCCTCCAGAAATTTGTTCAACAACTATCCCAGATGCAGGTGGCTGTTTATCGCGGTTTATAATAGGAAGTGATTAGAAGCAACTCAGATGTCTCTAAGAAGGGGCTGTGGGTCATGGCAAGCTCTCCAAGAGGCAGGATGGCACAGTGGCTCCATTGAGAATCTGGGCGATGGGCCATGGCGGAGTGGGTTAAGCCCCTGCCTGCAATGCCAGAATCCCATATGGGTGCCAGTTTGAGTCTCAGCTGCTACACTTTTGATCTTGCTCCCTGTCAATGCACCTGGGAAAGCAGCAGAAGCTGTCTCAAGTCCTTGGGCCCCTGCACCCATTTGAGGAACCTGGATGAAGCTCTTGGCTCCTGACCTCAGCCTGGACCAGCCTCAGCTTTTGAAGCCATTTGGGGAGTGAACCAGAGGATGGAAGAATCCTTTCTCTCCCTCTTTCTCTGTGATTCTGCCTTTCAAATAAATAAAATAAATTTGTTTAAAGATTTATTTACTCATTTGAACGGCAGAATTTACAGAGAGTGAAAGAGACAGAAAGAGAGAGAGATCTTCCATCTGCTGGTTCACTCCCTAAATGACTTCAAGCTGGGCCAGGCTGAAATCAGGAGCCAGGAGCTTCTTCCAGGTCTCCCAAGTGGGTACAAAGGGCCCAAGTTCTTGGGCCATCCTCCACTGTCTTCCCAGGCCATATAGCAGGAAGCTGGATCGGAAGTGGAGCAGTCAGGACTTGAACGGGTGCCCATATGGGATGCCGGCATTTTAAGAGGCAGTCTTATCTGCTATGCCACAATGCTAGCCCCTAAAATAAATCTTTTAAAAAAAAAAGGAATCTGGGCCTGCAGAGCATGCGTTTGGTACAGCAGTTAACTCAGCTTGGGACCCTGGCACGTCATATGTGAGCGCTTGGTTTTAGTTCCAGCTGCTTTGCCTTCCATCCAGCTTCCTGGTAATGCTCACCCTGGGAGGCAGCCGGTCATACTCAAGCACCTGCTCCCTGCCACCCACATGGAAGACTGAGATGGAGTTTCAGGCTCCCGGCTTCGCCTGACCCAGCCTCAGCTGTTGTAGGCATTTAGGGAATGAACCAGCAGATGGAAGAGCCCACTTTGTCTGGCTGTCTCTCTCTCTCTTTCTCCAAACAAAATGAAAATAAAATAAACTAAAAAAAAAATCTGGGCTCAGGACAGCCTATGTGGCTTGGAATCTCAGCCGTGCCTCCTCCTGGCTGTGAGCCCTTGAGCCTGCTGCTCCGTCTCTCCACCTTCTCTGTACCAACCGCTGCCTCTGTCAGCATCAGCAGAGCAGCCAGACAGAGCAATGTTTACTGGCTGTCACGAACAGTGACTGACGTAACATCTGCAAAGCACCACAGCAGTGCTGGGCTGGAAAGTCAACATACACAGCAGCGGGTGCTGCTCCCTTCCTGTGCGTGTGTGCACACACTCACAGTACACACTATACACACATCCGCACTAAACACACACTCACAATATACACTAAACACACACACTCACAATATACACTATACACACACGCTCACAATACACACTATACACACACATCCACACTATACACACACTCACAATACTCACTATACACACACATCCACACTGTACACACACTCACAATATACACTATACACACATCCACACTATACACACACTCACAATTGTGGGGAGCAACCCGGACTAGACTAAGTTACTGGAATTAAGACTTATTCTATGCATCTGCTCTCCCACAATATGGCGCTGAGAAGGGAAACAGCTTCTACGCAGCTGCCTCCAGTTCAACCAATAAACTGCAGGACCTGCTCCTGATTGGAGGAGAGCAGTGTACTCAGCGTGTGGGTAGCAGAGTTGGGATTGGTGGAGAGGACTATAAAGGAGGAGAGAGACAGCATGCACCAGGAACATCTAAGGGGAACATCTATCTGAAGGAACACCTGTGCAGCCCCCGAGAGAGCCGGCCGGCGGTGTGCCGCTCCCCCGCGGAAGTGGGGAATGTGGCAGGGGGAACCGCCCTTCCACGGAGGTGGGAGGGATGGCAGCCAACCCGGGAAGAACCAGCAGCAAACCCGGGGAGGGCCGAGCAGACAAAAGAACAGCGCAGGGTCCTGTGTCGTTCCTCCACGAAGACGGGGAGCGACTGTCGCTCCCCCTCTTCATGGGGGAACGACACTAAACCCTGCCTAGGCTTCATATCCGAGTCACGGCACCATTATGTCGCTCCCCCTCTTCGTGGAGGAACGACACTGAACCCTGCCTAGGCTTCATATCCGAGTCACGGCACCATTATGTCGCTCCCCGTCTTCGTGGAGGAACGACACAGGACCCTGCGCTGTTCTTTCGTCTGCTCGGCCCTCCCCGGGTTTGCTGCTGGTTCTTCCTGGGTTGGCTGCCATCCCTCCCACCTCCGTGGAAGGGCGGTTCCCCCTGCCACATTCCCCACTTCCGCGGGGGAGCGGCACACCGCCGGCCGGCTCTCTCGGGGGCTGCACAGGTGTTCCCTCAGATGTTCCCCTTAGATGTTCCTGGTGCATGCCGTCTCTCTCCTCCTTTATAGTCCTCCTCCGCCAATCCCAACTCGGCTGCCCACACGCCGAGTATGCTGCTCTCCTCCAATCAGGAGCAGATCCTGCTGTTTATTGGTTGAACTGGAGGCAGCTGGGTAGAAGCTGTTTTCTCCTCTCCCAGCGCCATATTGTGGGAGAGCAGATGCATAGAATAAGTCTTAATTCCAGTAACTTAGTCTAGTCCGAGTTGCTCCCCACAGTGACAACAATACACACTGTACACACACATCCACACTATACACACACACTCACAATATACACTGTTCACACACATCCACACTATACACACTATACACACACGCTCACAATACACACCATACAGACACATCCACACTGTACACACTCACACATCCACACTGTACACACACACTCACAATACACACTGTACACACACATCCACACTAAACACAGTACACTATACACACACTCACAATACACACTATACAGACACATCCACACTATACACACACTCACAATACACACTATACAGACACATCCACACTATACACACACTCACAATACACACTGTACACACACATCCACACTAAACACAGCACACTATGCACACACTCATAATACACACTATACACACATCCACACTATACACACACATCCACACTGTACACATACTCACACATCCACACTGTACACAGCACACTATATGCACACTCACAATACACACTATACACACACATCCATACTATACACACACATCCACACTGTACACACACACAATACATTCTGTACACACACATCCACACTATATACACACACTCACAATATACACTGTACACACACTTCCACACTATACACAGCTCACTATACACATACTCACAATACACACTATACACACACATCCACACTATACACACACATCTACACTATACACACACAATACACACTATACACACATCCACATTATACACACACAGTACACACTATACACACATCCACACTATACACTCATGCTCACAATACACACTGTACACACACATCCACACTGCATACAGACTCACAATATATACTCTACACACACATCCACACTATACTCACCACACTATACACTCACTCACACATCCACACTATACACACACTCACAATACACACTATACACACACATCCACACTTTACATGAACACTCATAATACACACTATACACACACATCCACAGTATACACACTATACACACACACTCATAATACATGCTATATGCACTCTAACAAAACACACTATATACACACATGCTCACAATACACACTATACAAACATCCACACTATGCACACACTCACAATACACACTATACACACATCCACACTATACACATACTCACAATGCATGCTATACACACATGCACACTATACACACTCACACACACTCATACACACACACCCACACTATACACACATACACTCAAACACACTATACACACACTCATAATACACACTATATACACACAATACATGCTATATACACACTCACATACACAATCATACACATCCACACTATACCCACATTATATACGCACACTGTCACAATATACACACACGTATCCACACTCCTACACACACAGGGCTTCAAAAAGTCCTGGACAATTGCATTAAAGGATAATGTGGATTGTTTGTGAATGTTTTAAAGCCCCATCTCTCTGTATAATGGTCAGCCTTCCATAGCCAAGGGCTCTGTATGCCTCCTAGGCTTCATAACCGAGTCACGGCACCATTATGTCGCTCCCCCATTCGCGGAGGAACGACACTGGGCCCTGCGCTGTTCTTTTGTCTGCTCGGCCCTTCCCGGGTTTGCTGCTGGTCCTTCCCGGGTTGGCTGCCGACCCCTCCACCTCCGTGGAGGGGCGGCTCCCCCTGCCACTTTCCCCACTTCGCGGGGGAGCGGCACACCGCCGGCCGGCTCTCTTGGGGGCTGCACAGGTGTTCCTTCAGATGTTCCTGATGCATGTTGTCTCTCTCCTCCTTTATAGTCCTCTTCCACCAATCCCAACTCTGCTACCCACACGCCGAGTATGCTGCTCTCCTCCAATCAGGAGCAGGATCAGCTCCTGCAGCTTGTCAAACTGATGAGGCAGCTGCGTAGAGGTTGTTTGGTCTCTCTCTCTCAGCGCCATATTGTGGGAGAGCAGATGCATAGAATAAGTCTTAATTCCAGTAACTTAGTCTAGTCTCAGTTGCTCCCCACAGCTCTGCACCCACAAATTCCACTAAATGGCAATCGCAAACACCCACGTTGGTCCTGAACATACACAGACCTTTTTTCTTGTTACTATTCCCTAAATCAACCAGTACAGCATCTATGTACACTGTATCGGGTGTCGTAGGCAATCTAGAGAAGAGCTCGGGTGTGAGGAGTGCTCGTGTGCAGGCTCTGGGTAAACACTGCACCATTTTATCGGGGGACTTGAACATCTCTGGATTTTGCGTCTATGGAGACCCTGGAAGCAGTCCCCGGTGGGTACCCAGGGTGACTGTCTATGCGAGGCATAGGTCTGTCACTGCTGCTTGTACAAAGAAGCCCCGGAAGGCACCTAACAAGCTAATAAGCATAACTGAAATGTGGGGAAGAAAGTAAGAGTGGCTTTTTTACTGTAAACCTTTTTATATCATTCTGATTTTCGAACCATATGAAAAAGTGCCTACCTCAAAAGAATTAAAAAAATAAATAAATAAAAGGGAGTTTTGGAGTCTGCTCCAGGCCAGTTGGCCATGACCTAGATGATGGTGGAGATTCATAGACTGAAAAAACCGGAGCCACGAAGGCGATGCGCGGGTCTTCAGCAGCACAAATCGTGGGGAACCCAGGCAGGAAGGCAAGGGCTCCCAGCTTCACAGAAGAAATACGCACGCGGGGTTCATGCTCAATAATGTAACAACATTTATTTCTCTGTTAAAGTTAGTAGTTCTTAACAAGATACACACGTGGAACTTTTAACTCTTAACAACAAACTTTCTTAACGGATGTGGTTATTTTAACAGGGGAGTGAGGGACTGTGGGGCAGACAGACAGGTTAAAGGGGCAGAAGCGAATGAGTAACACACACCCAAGCAGCAAAGGGCCTAGCACTCAGAGCACGCGGCCACGGCCGAGAGGAACCCGGTACAGGTTTGTGCCTCGTGATGAGCTCATAGCTCCTCTGGCCCTGCAGTTCAGGTTTCTAGAAGGCAGGGCTGCTGGCCAGGGTCCACACAGGCCCAGTTGGAACAGAGCAAGCCTGAAGGAGGAGCAGCAGAGCAGACAGGCCTGTGGGCAGGGCTGGGAGAGGTGGGAAAACGTGGAAGTGATCCGGGAAGCCAGGGTTGGGGCTACCTGGGAGCAGGCTGGCCAACCGTGGGGGGCGGGGCTCAGGCAGGGGAGTGGGATGTGTCTGAGCCCCCCCAGCTTGCACTGGAGTGTTGGCCACAGCGAGTTCCAGAGAAGTAGGAGCTGGGACTGCAGGGAAGTGGAGGGGTATATGGCTGAAAAGGACGGGGAGAAGATGGCCCTGCAGGTCCGGACACAGGCAACGAGGCTGGGGCCACCAGGTCACTGTTGGGCATGGCACCTGGGGAGAGGCCCAGGACACAATGCCCGCCTCCGTCATCTTGGGTTTGATGATGGGGTCCTATTTCATCCACAGGAAGAAGAGCTCAAGGGGAGCCAACCAGGGGCCCTGAGACCAGTCAGGCGCCTGTGTCTCCTGGGTCCCTAACCACTCCACGGGCGATCACACGCTGTTCTGGTGGCTGCTCAGCCGGTCAGGCCACAGCTCCCCAACAAGGCGGGCGGGGGCCGACAGGGACGGGCGAAAAGGGAGGGGGACCGAGAAGTCTTGCTCCCGTCTGCGCCTGCAGGATCCACATTTCTCAGAAGGCGGAAGGCAGGCCGAACGTGACGTGGACCTTTCTTTTTACAACAAATGGTCATTCCAGAAGAAGCGCAGCAGCACCTGAACTCTTCTGAAGAAAAATAGGACAAAACGAGGCAGGGCATCCCTGCCATCCAGCGGAAGAGCCTGTTTTCAGAGAGAGGGAAGAGAGTGTTAAGAAAGCAAAAGCAACCAAGAAACCCGAAGTTTAAAGCAATAGACAACAGCGGCTCCATCCTGGGCTGCTCCGTGAGTGGCACGAGCCGAAGGGGCTGAGCATTGCAGGCGTCCCGGCCTCTGTGTGGCCCGCTGAGTTCTCCCGCGGTGACCACCAGCCATTTGCGCACTCTGGCCAGCGACAGCCAGCTGCTCCTCTGTCCCCAACCCCCATGACGTTTAGGGAGGCCTCCCCAGGAAGCCAGCAGGCTTTCGAGGGTATAGAGCAGGCGTGGGTGGATGAAGGGAATAAAGTTGCAGGTGACAAGGCTCACCGGAGCAGTGAGTTAGCGCCACTGTTTTCCTGTGGGGACATCAGGAGGAGGAGGCTGAGGGGCAGACCCAAACGCGGTCCCCACTGGGCAGCCGCATGTGGCTGCTATGCCCGGGGCTCTTCCGTGGCGTCACCTCCCTCACGAGGACTGCAAGGCCCTCTGCCTGAGCCGTTCACGTCCACGTCACGTTCGGCCTCCTCCCATTCCCTCTCTCATCTTCAGCCACTCCAGCCTCCACGCACGCCAGGCCCGCTCCTGCCCCAGGGCCTTTGTTGCCTGCCTGCCTCTGATGTCCCCACTGCCATGTCCCCCATCTCTTCCCAGGTTTTCCTCAGAAATCACCTTCTCCAGGACGCCTTCTCCTCACTCCTTTTCCTCAAGATCGCAACCCTGGGACCGGTGCTGTGCCGTGGCAGGTAAAGCCGCCACCTGCAGTGCTGGCATCCCATTTGGGCGCCGGTTCTAGTCCCAGCTGCTCCACTTCCGATCCAGCTCTCTGCTATGGCCTGGGAAAGCAGTGGAAGATGGCCCAAGTCCTTGGGCTTCTGCACCCACATGGGAAGACCTGGAGGAAGCTCCTGGCTGCTGGCTTCAGATCAGCACAGCTCCGGCCACTGTGGCCAATTGAAGAGTGAACCAGCGGATGGAAAATCTCTCTCTTTCTGCCTCTCTTTCTCTTTCTGTGTAACTCTGACTTTCAAGTAAAATAAATAAATCTTTAAAAAAAAATATTGCAACTCCCCCCCCCCCCGGCATCTTCAGCCTTGTTTGCTTTTTTACCAAAACAGCCGCCCCCACCTGATCCCCTCAACCCTTTGTCTCCCTTATGAACTCTGAAATCGGGCAGCTTTGTCTTTTGACTGCTGCCATATCTCCAGCACTTAACCAGGGCCTGACGCACAGCAGGTGCTCAACAAATATTAATTCACTGACTGACTGAATGAATGAGAAATCGTTAGCAGCAAGCTCAGCAATCCAGATTATGTTTTGCCAGGACTGGAAATCGTTAAAGGAAAACCAAATGCATTTCCTCCCGGTGTGGCAGAAGAGAAAAGAGCCTTGCACCCTTAAGTCCAGCTTTGTCACTTAGAAGCTCAGTGGCCTCAGACAGGTTACACAGTCTGTCTGACACTCAGCTTCTCCTGAAACACCCATGATGTAATTCACAGGACTGTTGGGAGAACTAAATTGTTCAGTCATTCTTAAGGGACAGGCGTTTGGCATAGCAATTAGAACACACACAGCCCGCATCCGAGTGTCTGGGTTCAAGGCCCAGCTCTGCTCCAGATCCCAGCTCCTGGCTCACACATGCCTTGAGAACAGCAGGTGTTCTCTCAGGTAGTTGGGTTCCCGCCACCCACGTGGGAGACCTGCATTGAGTCCCTGGCTCCTGGCTTCAGCCTGGCCCAGCCCTGGCTGTTGTAGGCATTTAAGGAGTGAACAAGCTAAGGGAGATCCCTTTCTCTCTCTCTCTCCTTCTCTCTCTCCCTCTCTCCCTCTCTCCCTCTCTCCCTCTCTCCCCCTCTCCCTCTCCCTCTCCCTCTCCCTCTCTGTGTCTCTGCTTCTCAAACAGGTAAGTTGGGGCGGCTGACATTGTGGGGCAGCAGGTTAAGCATCAGCTTATGCTGCTGCCATCCCATATCGGAGTGCCAGTTTGAGTCCTGGCTGCTCTGCTTGCAATCCAACTTTCCACTAGGGGAAGGCAGCAGATGATGGCCAAGTAGTTGGGCCCCAACATCAACATAGGAGACTTGTTTGGAGTTCCTGGTTCCTGGCTTCGGCTACTGCAACCATCTGGGGAGTGAACCAGAGAAGGAAAGATTCTGTGTGTGTGTGTGTGTGTCTGTTGCTCTGCCATTCAAAGAAATAATAAGTATTTTTAAAAATAAATAGTAAACTTGGCCGGCGCCGCAGCTCACTAGGCTAATCCTCTGCCTTGTGGCGCCGGCACACTGGGTTCTAGTCCCAGTCGGGGCACCGGATTCTGTCCCGGTTGCCCCTCTTCCAGGCCAGCTCTCTGCTGTGGCCATGAAGTGCAGTGGAGGATGACCCAAGTCCTTGGGCCCTGCACCCCATGGGAGACCAGGAGAAGTACCTGGCTTCTGCCATCGGATCAGCGCGGTGCGCCGGCCGCAGTGCGCCGGCCGCAGCGGCCATTGGAGGGTGAACCAACAGCAAAGGAAGACCTTTCTCTCTGTCTCTCTCACTGTCCACTCTGCCTGCCAAAAAAATAAAAAACAAAAATAAAAATAAATAAATAGTAAACTTAATAAGTGAATGTCTGTTTCCCTTCCCTTTTTCTAACAAACTAAGAAAAGCATTCCTGTATCAATCAGGGTCGCAGAGGAAGCAGATGGCACAGTCGAATTAGGCTAATGCAGGGAGGGGAAATGAGAGACTGCCGATGGAGGCGTGGGGAAACCACAGGACTGTGCAGGCCCCAGGGCTGTTTACGGCAGAATTGTAGCAGCTCCTTGGAGAAAAATGCCGCAGGCACCGCATTTAAGACCCCAGAGGCAACGAGAAGCCCGTGTTAGAACACATTTTATACTTAGAAAAATGACAGGCCCCAGATTTAAAAGAAACAAAACAGGTGCTTGAACAAAAATCCCTGCGAGAGAACAAAAACCATAAACAGTTGAGGAGACAGAAATAAAAGGTGGCGAGCTCCTTGCTGGCAGTGTCCAGGGCAGACTGGCCATTTCTGCGAGAGCATGCGCAGCAGGAAGACTTCCAGAGTCCCTGCGACAGCCTGGCTAAGCAGGCACCAAAGGCAAACAGTGAAGCCCTGTTCCCTGCCAGGCGTGACATCCCGCAAAGGCGCTCACAGTTTTAGAGCCAAACACAGGAGGAGCTTTCTGAATTACCATTATTGTTTACTGGTTTGTTTATTTATATGAGAGGCAGAGTTACAGAAAGAGGAAGAGACAGAGAGGTCCTCCATCTGCTGGTTCACTCCCCAAATGGCTGCAACAGCCGCAGCTGGGCTGATCCAAAGCCAGGAGCCAGGAGCTTCCTCCAGGTCTCCCATGCAGGTGCAGGGGACTAAGCACTTGGGCCATCTTCCACTGCTTTCTCAGGCCATGCAGAGAGCTGGATTGGAAGTGGAACAGCTGGGACTCAAACAGGCAGAGGCTTAACCTACTACACCACAGCACTGGCCCTGGGACATGATATCTTTAAAAGTCTGGGTTGCAGCCAGGTTTGTAAAATATTGCAAGAAAAGCTGGAAAAGGCTAAGGTCAGACACATAGATCCATGGAATAGAACTGAGAGTCCAGAAACACACCCTCACGCTCACAGCCAATTGACTTCCAACAAGGCTGCCAGGAGAAGCCAATGGGGCTTTTCGATAGTGGATGCTGGGACAGCTGGATAACCACATTAGAACAAAAAAAAGAGTTGTATTTATAACTCAAGCCATATAGAAAATATAGAAAAATTAACTTCAAATGGATCAAAGATCCAAATTTAATAACTAGAACTATAAAGCTCTTAGAAGAAAACATAAGAGTAAATCTTCATGACCTTGAACTAGGCAATTATTTATTAGATACAACACCAAAAGCACTAGCTACAAAAGAAGAAATAGATAAATTGAACTTTATCAAAATTAAAAAGTTTTCTACTTCAAGGAACATCATCCAGGAAAGTGAAAGGACAACCTACTGGGTTGGGCAAAATATTTACAAATCACTTAACTGACACCTGGAATACATAATTAACTTCTTCAAGTCAGTAATAAAAAGACAAAGCTGTATCTCTTGTCCAAAGAAAAGATGTGCTTGGCTAGCAATCGGGAAGATGCAAATCAAAACCACAGTGAGATACCACTTCTCACAGCCCAGGCTGGCTGTGTTCACAGGCAATGATAAATGTTTTGACCAGGAAGCAGAAAACCGGAACCCTCCTGCACTGCTGCTGGGCCACAGTCCAAAACAGTGCAACCACTTTGGAAAACAGCCTGGAAGTCCCCTAAAAATGAAACATAGAGTGGTCACATGACCCAGCACCTCCTTCTCTAGGTGTATTCCCCAGAGAGTTAAAGGCATGGGGGCCGCATTGTGGCACAGCAGGTTAAGCCAAATCCTGCAACACCAGCATCCCGCATGGGCACTGGTTTGATTCCCGGCTGCTCCACTTCCAACCCAGCTCCCTGCTAATGTGTGGGGAAAGCAGTGGAAGATGGGCCAAGCGCTTGGCCCCTGCCCCTACATAGGAGACCTGGGTGGAGTTCCTAGCCCCTGGCTTCAGCTTTTTTTTTTTTTTTTTTTTAAAAGAACTTTGAGTGAAATAAGCTTCACCAAAAGGCTATACACTGTGCTGCTCTACTTACATTAAATGCCCCAAATATCTCTGTCTCTACATTTCCCTGTCTGTGTAGCTCTGCCTTTCAAATAAATAAATAAATCTTTAAAAAAATAACAATTGGGGCCAGCGTTGTGGCATAGTAGGTAAAGCCACCATCTATGATGCTGGCATCTCATATGGGCACCAGTTCGTGTCCCAGCTGCTCCACTTTCAATACTAATAGCTCCCTGCTAATAGCTTAGGAAAAGCAGCAGAGGATGCCCCCAAGTTCTTGGGTCTCTGCTACCTATGTGGGAGACCTGGATGAAGCTCCTGGATCCTGGCTTTGGCCTGGTCTAGCCCTGGCCATTGTGGCCATTTGCGGAATAAACCATCAGATGGAAGATCTCTCTCTCTCTCTCTCTCTCTCTCTCTGTAACTCTGAGAACAAATAAACACATCTTAAAAACAACAGAACAACAACAACAATAATAATAGGGGCCATTGCTGTGGCACAGCAGGTAAAGCTTCCACCTGCAGTGCTGGCATCCCATGGGAGTGCTGGTGCAAGTCCTGGCTGCTCCACTTCCAATCCAACTCCCTGGTAAATGTGCTTGGGAAAGCAGTGGAGCCTGGCCCAGGTGCTTGAAGACCAGATGGAGTTCTAGGCTCAGGTGTCTGCCTGACCCAGCCCTGCTAGTTGCCGTAATTTGGAGAGTGAGCCAATGGTTGGAGGATCTCTCTGTCTCTGTCTCTCCCTCTCTCTCTATAACTTCGTCTTCCAAATAATAAATCTTTTTTTAAAAAATGCCCCAAATAGGCAAATGAATAGAGACAGAAAGAAAATTGGTGGGGAGGACACAGGCTCACTGAGGACAGCGTGGAGGCAGTGATGGGGATTAACAAGAATCCTCACCGGCCGTGAAGTTAAGGGAAGAAGCTGGGTTCTGAGGCACAGCCAGCCCTCCACCATGGGCCGCCATGCAATGGTTCCTCCTCTGTTGCCCACTGCAGGTTGTTCTAGAGGAAAACTAGGCTAGCTGTGGGTGTCATCACCCCCAAGATTTCAAACAGTAGCCTTTTAGTCTTTCCTAATTCCCTTATCATCTCTAACCATAATCAGAAGTCCCTGGGGGCGGGACTCGAGCCACAGCCTTCGGGTTGGTTTAAGGAGGGGAAGCCAGAGCTAAGGCACAGCTTCTGCTCCAACTGCACATTAGATTCACCCCGGGGAGCTAGGAAAATGCCAATTACATCAGAATGTCCCAGAGGTGGGCCCAGGCATCTCTAGTAGCTAAAACTCCATAGGTAATTCTAATCCTACTGTGAGAGGGTGCATCAGTTTCTCCCTAATTGATGTGCACACGGATCCCCTGGGCCATGTGCAAAAAGGCCCATTCTGGCTTGTGACTTCCTGGTGGTGTGGGCAGGATTTTGAGCATCTAACCAGGTCCCTGGGGATGCTGCTGCTGCCAGTCCACGGATCACAGCGAGGGTAGCAAGGATGACAGCAAACGCTGGCCTTGACACAGGCTCACGATTTTTAGATCTGCTGATTGTGTGTGGCATTGTTGGTCCCAGAGCTCTGACCACTCCTGGGCACCTTGGCCACGGGGCAGCAATTGCTTGCTGTCTTTGCTCTTTCCTCCCACCTGACAGGCCCTTGCTGGGAAAAAGGAAGTCTCACCTCTTGAACCATCCTGTGATTGATGCTGTCCCCAATGAGTCTCAATTGTATGGCCAACTTCTGAATTATCTCTTCCTGGTGATGGTTCTGGCCGATGCTATTCTCTTTGGGCTGAGAAGGGGGGTTGTGATCTGCATTGACAGGAAAGAGTTTAAAAGAGAAAACTCTATTAACCATGGGTAAAATGATTCACCACTAGTTACTGAAAACTACATCAGACAATGAGAGAGATGAAACCCAATCAAGAAAATAATTATCAAAAGGCAAAACCTGGGAGCATGGTAGTTAAAACCCCATTTGGGACACACGCATCCCATATTAGAGTGCCTGGGTTCAGTCCTGCTTTCTGCTAATACACACCCTACGAGGCAGCAGGTGATGGTTCAAAAAGTCAGGACGCTGCCACTCATATGATGGGAGACCTGGACTGAGTCCCTGGCTCCCAGTCTCAGCATGGCCCAGCCCTGGCTGTTGTGAGCATTTCGGGAGTGAACCACAGATAGAAGTTCACTTGCTCTCTCTCTCTTCCTGTCAAATAAAATAATCTTTTTAGAAATTAAAACTATTTATTTATTTATTTTTAAAGATTTACTTACTTATTTTTTTATTTATTTGACAGATAGAGTTAGACAGTGAGAGAGACAGAGAGAAAGGTCTTCCTTCCGTTGGTTCACCCCCCAAATGGCCGCTACAGCCGGCACTGCACTGATCCGAAGCCAGGAGCCAGGAGCCTGGTGCTTCCTCCTGGTCTCCCATGCGGGCACAGGGGCCCAAACAACTGGGCCATCCTCCATTGCCTTCCTGGGCTACAGCAGAGAGCGGCACTGGAAGAGGAGCAACCGGGACTAGAACCCGGTGTCCATATGGGATGCCAGCGCCACAGGCAGAGGATTAACCAAGTGAGCCACAGCGCCAGCCCCACTTACTTATTTTTGAAAGAGTTACGGAGAGGAGACAGAGAGATCTTCTATCCACTGGTTGGCTCCCCAGATAGCCACAACAGCCAGCACTGGGCCAGGCTGAAGTTAGGAGTCAGAAGCTTCATCTGGGTCTCCCACATGGACCCAAGGCAAGGACCCACACACTAGGAATGTCCTCTGCTGCTTTTCAGAAGGCCATTAGTAGGGAGCAGGATCAGAAGTGGATCAGCCTGGGGCCGGCGCTGTGGCGTAGCAGGTAAAGCTGCTGCCTGCAGCGCTGGCATTCCATATGGGTGCCAGTTCAAGTCCTGGCTGCTCCACTTCCAATCCAGCTCTCTGCTATGGCCTGAGAAAGCAGTAGAGGATGGCCCAAGTCCTTGGGCCCCTGCACCCGTGAGGAAGACTTGGAAGAAGCTCCTGACTCCTGGCTTCGGATTGGTGCAGCTCTGGTCATTAGTGGCCCACTGGGGAGTGAACCAGCAGGTGGAAGACCTCTCTCTCTCTCTCTCTCTGCCTCTCCTCTCTCTGTGTATCTCTAACTTTCAAATTAATTAATTAATTAATTAATTTAAAAAGAAATGGATCAGCTAGGACACGAACCCGGCACCCATATGGGATGCTGGTGTTGGCAGCTTTACCTGCTGTGCCCCAGGACCTTTTATTTGTTAAGGCCTGCCCTCAAAGCAATGGGCATTTGGTGCAGTGGTTACAACACTGCTTGGAATGCTCACATCCCACATCGCAGTGCCTGTGTTAGAGTCCCAGCTCCACTTCCAGTTCCAGCTTCCTGTTAATGCACACTGGGAAGCAGCAGATGGCGGCTCAAGTGCTTGGGTCCTTGCCACCAATGTGGGAGGCCTCGACTGAGTTCTCAACTGTTGGCTTCAATCTGGTCCAACGAGAGCTATTGCATGCATGTGGGAAGTGAACCAGGTGACAGGAGATTCTTTCTCTCTCTCTCTCTCTCTCTCTCTCTCCCTCCCTCCCTCCCTTTTTCTCTGCCTTTCTAATATATTGAAAATTAAAAAAAAAATCAAAGAGCCCAGGGTAAGAAAGAAAAATACACAACTTATGATTTACTAGGTTAGAGCAAGAGTGAGGTTTGCACAGAGGGGCCAGGAAGATGTCCCAAAGGAGCTGACAGCTGAGCTGAGTCCTGAAGTTTGAAGGATGGTCAGGAATTATCCAGGAGGGGCCAGCGCTGGGGCTTGGCAGGTGAAGCCATGGCCTACAATGCCAGTATCCCACTTGGGCATCGGTTTGTGTCCCAGCTGTTCCACTTCTGATCCAGCTCTCGGCTATGGCCTGAGAAAGCAGTAGAGGATGGCCCAAGTCCTTGGGTCCCTGCACCCACGTGGGAGACCTGGAGGAAGCTCCTGGCTCCTGGCTTCAGATCAGCTCATCTCTGGCTGTTGCAGTCATTTGGGGAGTGAACCAGCAGATGGAAGACCTCTCTCTCTCTCTCTGGTTCTACCTCTCTCTGTAACTCTGCCTTTCAAATAAATAAAATAAATAATAAATCTTTTTTTAAAAAATTAAGCGCCTGAGGTAGGCACTTGGCCTACAGCATATGGCCTGGATTCAGCATCCAACTCCAGCTTCCAGTTAATGTGGACGCTGGGAGGCAGCAATGATGGCTCAAGTAATTGGGTCCCTGCCACCCATGTTGGAGACCTGGACTGAGTTCCTGGCTCCACGCGGTAGCCCTGGATACACACTTTTTAAAAATATTGAGCCTTTACACTGAAGTTGGATCTACATTTAAAAAAAAAAAAAGTAAGTAAACTTCCTGATAATGGGAGGTTGTGTCTGGGGTTCTGTCCATTTACTTCATAAAAGTTAATGTAAAATGGGTTGAGAGCTCTGCTACGGCCCACCCGCATATGGCATCATTTGCTAGCTGAAGAGAGCTGGTGCCCCTGCCTTGTGACATTTGCACACCAAGACAGCGACACCATCGTATTACAATATTGTGGCTGGAGACTATTCAGGTCATATGTTGGAGGCAAGTGAGAGTCTTCTGACAAGATCATCAGACTGAAGGAAATAAGGGTCAAACTTGGCATTATTTTTGAAGAGTTGGATTTTGAATATCCAGAGGACAAAAGTATCCCACCTAATACAATAAGGACTACTGAAAAGTTATGTGACTATATATCCACATATGGTTCTGAAAATAAAACCGGAATCTAAATGGCCTCGTAAGAAATTTGGACAGAAGTCTCGTGTGTAATCTCTACTTAATTCCTTCGTAAGGCAGATCATCCTCCCAGTGTTGGAGCCTTCCGCCACAGCTGTGTGGCGAGGGCCCTGCAGGGGCACCAGTGCCAGCTGTCCTGGTTGCCTTCAGGGAAGTTCCTAAGCAAACCTGCTCCAAATCGGTGTGCAAGTGTCTTCCACAGCCACTTATAATGTAAATATTATATTGTCTCCTGTGCTGGTCCTCCTGCATACTCCCGATTTCATTCACTGAAAATGGGAGTTGGGCGACTTCTGGCTCAAGATTGGCTTCTCCTCCCTGAATCCCCTCCAAGACATCACCAAAATGGAGTAGAAAAAAGAAAGCCAAAACACTGAACAGGATGGGAGTCCCAGCCAACAGCAGATGAGTGGGCTGTACACGTTTCTGGAGGCAGGAAGCAGATGGGATAAGATGTGGACAAGTGAATCAGGCAGAGAAAAGTCCAAGGACCCATCTCAGGGGCTCCTGAGGCTTAGAAGCCTGTCTATCCCACGGAGACTGGGAGGCTGCGAGGGGGAGAGAGATGTGCCCCTTACAGGAGGGCTGATGCGGGAACAAGAGCCCCGCCTGGCACCCTTGGCACCCCCAGCCCAGTGTACTCAGCACAGATCGCAGGTACAAAAGCCCCAGAAGAGTCCGTCTTCTGGCTAGCACTTAAGATTCCAGCTGAGATGGCCACATCCCCTGTCAGAGTGTCTGGGTTCCAGGCCCCACCTAAGCTACTGGCTCCAACTGCTTGCCGATGCGAACCCTGGGAAGCAGCATGTGATGGCTCAAGGAGTTGGGTTCTCAAGTAGTTGGAGACCTGGCTTGAATACCTGGCTACACGGCTTCAGCTCAGCTCAGCTCCAGCCATTGCAGATATTTCAGGAGTCAATGGTAGGCAGGTAGATGGAAGCTCTTTCTGTCTTTCTACAGCTCAAATTAAAAAACAAACAAGGAGGGGCCAGCACTGTGGCTCACTTGGTTAATCCTCTGCCTGCGGCGCCGGCATCCCATATGGGCACCAGGTTCTAGTCCTGGTTGCTCCTCTTCCAATCCAGCTCTCTGCTGTGGCCTGGGAAAGCAGTAGAAGATGGCCCAAGTCCTTGGGCCCCTGCACCCACCTGGGAGTCCCGGAAGAAGCTCCTGGCTTCTGGCTTTGGATTGGCCCAGCTCTGGCTGTTGTAGCCATTTGGGGAGTGAACCAGTGGATGGAAGACTTCCTTTCTCTCTGTATCTCCCTCTGCTTCTGCCTCTCTGTAACTCTGCTTTGCAAATAAATAAATAAATCTTTAAAAACAAATAGAAGAACAAACACAACTCCCAAGATGATTCCAACCTGCAGCCACAGCGGAGGATCACTGACCTAGAAAACGGGAAGACATGGTCAGCTGAACTTTTCCTTCCGGGAAAGGGAGAGTGAAATGCGGTGGGGGTGAAGGTGAGGGGCTGGATGCAGACTTTGCACTCAGTCAACAGAGATCTTTTAGAGGGCCTGTGTGTTCCAGGCACTGCTCCAAACCCTTTGTCACCGTAAGCTCTCTGTACTAGCTGATTTGTCCCCATAGACATGAATTGCTTTGATTCAAAAAAAGTTTAAAGCAGCAACAATGCAGGGTCGTTACCCAAATTCACACTTTTAAATACATTGGGCACCCAACAGGATCCACTTCTGCCTGGGTGGAGAGGTCAGCCACCTACACAGGGTGACACGGCTGGAAACAAAACACCTTTCAGGGGAAGTGGTCAGGCTGTGAGCTGACTGGGCAAAGGTGAGGGCCCTGGGGAGCACCCGCCCCACTTCCACCGCCATACACACCCGCAAGGCCCCCCAGCTGCGTCTCAAAGGTCCCACCAGAGCTCCTGGACCCCAGCACAGAGTTAAGAGTGGAGAGGAGATAGTGTCAGGGAGGGCCAGAGTCCCAGCACATGGATCTGCCTCAGCTATGGGTAAGCCTGTAGGTAGCCTACACGGTAGGTAAAATACGTGGCCTTCGGATCAAGATGCAACTACACTGCCTGTCATTTGAGTTCTCTATTGTTGTCTGCAAGAGTATCTTGAAACATACACATATTGGGGCCAGCATTGTGGCACAGCAGGTTAAGCCACTGCTTGCGATGCCGGCATTCTATATCAGAGTGGCGGGTCCACTTCCAACACAGCTCCCCGCTAATGTGCCTGGGAAAGCAGTGGAAGATGGCCCCAGTGCTTGGACCCCTGCTACCCACGTGGGGAACTTGGATGGTGTTCCAGGCTTCCAGCTTCTGCCTGGCCCAACCCTATTTGGGGAGTGAACCAGCAGGTGGAAGACCTCTCTCTCTCTCTCTCTCTCTCTCTCTAACTCTGCCTTTCAAATAATTAATCTTCTAAAAATACACATATTAATGAGATTCCCACCTCATCAGCCATCAGCAGAGAAGAAATGATGACACCAGTAAGGACTAGAGCTCACCCAGCAGAGAAGGAAGGGAACGGAGTGGGGAGACCCTCCAAAAACTCCACGGGCTTCAAAATGGGTCTAGGGGCGGGCCTGCCTGTGCTAATCAAAAGCATATTGATCTGCAGCTGTTAGTGTAACAGATTAACTGTCACCTGGGAAAGATCTGCATTAGGAAAATGAAATATAAATTGAATAAGTTTCAAAAATGGACATTGGAGGACTGATTTTGGCACAGTGGGTTAAGCAGCCTCCTACAATGCCAGCATCCATGTAGGTGCCAGTTTGAGTCCTTGCTGCTCCACTTCAGATCCAGCTCCCTGCTAATGCATGCTGGAGGGCAGTGGAGGATGGCCCAAGTCCTTGAGCCCCTGCACCCATGTGGGAGACCTGGAAGAAGCTCCTGGTTCCTGGCTCCTGGCTCATCCCTGTCCATTGTGGCCATTTGGGCAATGAACCAGCAGATGGAAGACATCTCTCTCTCTCTAATTCTGCCTTTCAAATAAATAAAACAAACTGGAGCCAGATATCAAACCTAGGTACCCTGATGCAGGATACAGGTGTCCTAACCAATCTTATCTGGTAGGCCAGACACCCATGCCAAGAAAATATATTTTCTTTTTTTTTAAACTTCTATTTAATAAGGGAAATATATTTTCTAAGCAAACACTTACAGCACTTCCAATGTGTCAACCACTGTTATAAGACGTTTACAATCAATAAATCAATTCTTGTTTGTTTGTAAGTACAGTTCTCAAATTTTAAAATATCTCAGAAATTTCAGAATTGTGGCTATGTCGAAAAATACCTTTGTTCTGAGCAGACAGTACATGGAAATACTTAGGGATGAAATGAAATGATTTCTCACAAATGGCTTAGCAAAAAAAAATCTGTGTGCATGTATTCACAGGTGTGTAGAGAAAGATGGAAAAAATAAGTCAAATGTGGCAAAACATTAAACAAAAAAAGCGAGTCCATGTGAAGTGTTTGATTAGCTATAGACTCACTGTTGCAAATTTCTGGAGATTTAAAATTTTCCAAGACACACATTGCGGGCAGAACATGTACCACAGAACAGTTCTTAATCTACAAGTAAAGCTTTAATTCATGTCTAATCTCTTTAGGTGGTTTTTCAGAGCCCTTAGAACGTAAGTGAAGTTACTCATCCAGCCGCCTTACTCTTCTCGACAACAGTCTCTTCATCTGACCACAGCTTATCTTCAAGGGTTTCTTGAAAACTCCTTTCCCTAAGATACCTTTTCAGTCTTCCAAAAAGAATGTGATCTCTCACTTTGAACGTGTGCAGCGCTTTTTAGCGCTCTACATTTTGTGATCATTGTATGCTTTTTATTATATTCACTATATAATGCATATTAATTATATATGCCAACATACTTCCCTATTTAGATGTACTCTATCTACAACAATAATTACAGGTTACAGCAAGACACTCCCTAAAAGCTAGGAATTAAAAGGAAAGACGTGTCTTCTGGGAACTAGGAGGCGAGATGGACGTATGCCCAGAGGGAGAAGGGCCGTCCGGGCAAGAGAAGCTGCCAGCTCCCCCTGCGCCTGCGCCCCTCCCCTCCTGGGGTGTCCGTCCTGGGTTACACCCGGGAGAAACGTCCTCTGATTTCCAGGGGAGGCCCACGTCCCGTTACAGCGTCTGGGCCTCCTCATAGGACTTAGGGCGCCACACTGAAGGCTTCTAAGTGCGTCTGCCTGCCCCGTGCCGTCTATACCAGACCCCACGCGCCAGGAGGGAAGAACCTGCCTTGTGCCCCTTCCTATCGATCACGGTCACCGTTCTGCCCACCCCGCACGGCGGTGGCGGCAGGGCCAGCCTTGACCCACCCTCCGTTCCCTTCCCTTCCCTTCCCTTCAGGGACGCGTCAGAGGGGCTGCTCTGGGCTTCCCACATCCCTACCAGCCCTCGGCTCTTCTAAGAAAAAGTGGCTTCAAGTTCCCCGATCAGAAAATGAACGTATTTCCCCCGCCCCGAGTTAACGTTTCTCTGTGTCGATTTCCCCAAAGTAAGAAATCCCGGCTTTAGCGAGTCATTTTCCAGGCATCGGACGGCTGGTGATTTCCGTCGTGGGTCTCGGTGTCACAGCCCGGACAAAAGCCCCCGGGGGACGAGGCCGCCTGCTCAGCACGAACTGTGCCTGGGCCCCTCCTCAGGGAACGTTTGGTAAGGTCGCCTGCTACGGAGCGCTCTCGGGCCGGACCCCAGACGCGTGCCTGGGCGTGCAGAGCGCGCGCTCCGCCGGTCGGCCCGGGTCGGCCCGGGTCACGTGGGCCGGCTGCGGCCAATGGGGCGCGCGCACCGCGGCGCGAGCGGGGGCGCGCGCGATGCTCGCTCCCGGCCGCCTGCGCTGGGGGGAGCCGGAAGCCGGCGGCCGGCGGCCGGCGGCGGGCCTCCGGCACGGGCAGTAGGCAAATTTCGCGGCCCAACCTTCCGCCCGTGTGTCTGTCCCCTTGTGTACTGAGTTAGCGTCCCTCCTGACGCCGTCGTGACGGCATGGTGCCCCTCTCACAGCGCCCCCCCCCCAAGCCTGCAGCCGCCTCCCCACCCCACCCCGTGACTGGAGCGAAATCGTGAACTGTGAGGGGAGAACCGCGCGGCTGCCGGAATAGGGGCGCCAGCGGGGTCCCCACATGCAAGGGGCCTCCCCTCGGAGGACCCCCGTGCTGCTGCTCGGCCGGCGCCAGTGGCCGCTGGGCTAAAGTCGCAGTCGCAGCTCAGCCCGTCCACGGGCGCGCGGACGGAGAGCAGGCTGTTCCAGGCTGGGCGCGCCCTCGCTCGGCCTCCGAAGCGAAGCCGTAGGTAGGAGAGCGAGTTAGGTCGACCTGGCGACGCCAGAGAGCCGTCGGCTTCCCGCGGAATCAGGCCGCGGTGGTGCGGCGAGTGTGAGCGCGTCAGGGCCACGGCAGGTCGCTGCAGCTGTGCGGGGCCCCTGCGCGTTCGCGGGGTGGGCCGTACGGTGTGTGCAGCACCTCGGGGGCAAAGGCCGAGAAACGCGCGCCCCAGAGGTGTTCTTAGGCGGCAGAACCTCAGGCTTTGAGAAATAGCTGTTGACTCTTGCCAACCAGGTAAAAGTCAGGAATTGGGGGTCTTCGCTAAAGGTGGTCAATGGCCACATCTGTGGTGGGCGAGCAACCGCCGGGATATATGACATTTCCACTTTCTCAGTCGCATGTTAAAACTGCATAATAGTTTGAAATTCATGTTAATAGTGCCTTTCGGGGGCCCAGCATATACTGAATCTGAAAGCAGAAGACTATATATAAATTGAACCCCAACACTTTCCTTTTCATGCTCCTCAAAATATACATATTTTAATTTTCCAGCATTTGGGAACATAGAGGACTCACACATTTTTGAAAACATTTTTTTTTTTTGCAAAAAAATAATGTCCCTCCCTTAACAATGCAGAAATGCAGATATCGTCGGGTCAAGTTTAAAGACACATTTTTATTAAAAGTTGAATTTGATCTGTGTTGGCTAACTTGGGAATCATCTTAATGAGTTACCACATCAATAATTCAGGGCTGACAGAAACCAAGAGATTTAGAACCGTGAAGCAAAGTCACTTTTAGATTTTTTTTGCCAACTAAGAATTTGAATGAATAAATTAACCACTATTTTCTTACAACTAACTTTTAAATAACACTTGCATATTTAGGTCCAAATTTAGGTCCCTAATACTGAGAAAAATACGTGCTAAATGTAATCTTTATTTTAGTTTAATGCAAAAAAAATCTTACCTGGATTCCTTGACATGGCTGGAGCTGGCCTGGAGCTGACAAGTTGGGTCATGTATGCCTTCTGAATACTATATTTTGCCCACTGTGATTTGCAACAATTTGTTACTTTGGGAGATGGATTCAGAGCTTCTGTAGGTTCATAAACAATGCTATGGTGTTTTTTCTTCTTCATGCTTTTTCCCTGTTGAAAAATATATTTTGAGAGCATTTTCTCCATTTCTCTGTAAAATATTTGAAATGTTAGATGAATATTGATGTTTTAACAGCATGGCCAGTGTTTATTCCACGTGCAAAAGGGCTCTGTATTTGGGTGGTAGGTGGAACCAGCTGATCCCTGAGGTCCTTTTCTATTTAGTTCTTCTTTCTAGGTCACTTGGTCTTTAGGTCTGCTGCACCACCACCCCACATCCTCATCTCCCATTAGTTTTTCTTTATCTTTTCCAGAGCCTCATTCCATTGGGGGGGGTGGGGGTTAACACACAGAAAGAGAGGTAAATTAGCTTGGCCAAAAGAAAAATAGATCAAGAGGCTGGCACAGTGGTGCAGCCAGTTAGGAGCACTGGTTTAAATTCAGGCTACTCCACCTAGGATCCAGTTCTGTGCTAATGCACCTGGGAAGGCAGTGGAGATTGGAAGACCTGAATGGAGCTCTAGGCTCCTGGCTTTGGCTTGGCCCAGCCCTGGGAAGTGAACCAGAGGATGGAATATCTTTCTTTCTGTCCCTGCCTCTCTCTTTGTCATTTTATTTTTCAAATAAGTAAAATAAATCTAAAAGAAAAAACAAAAAGGTCAACACTTAGAGGGGTAGGGAGGGGTGGGGGTAGAACACATTGTGTGTCCCGGGGAGATTCTGATTTGCTCTCTTTCACCCTCCCCAACTCCCCCAGCCCCCACCAGGCCCTCTCTGATCTTACAGCGCCAGTCCAGTGGGAGAAAATTTGAACCAAGACTTATTCTCTTCCTGGGCATTTAATTCTCTTGGCTTAAAGGTTGGCCATGAGTTCAACTTCCTCGTCTATCTTTCAAAACTAAGCAGTCGCCGAAAGGGAAAGAAAAGGTGAGAGTACACTCTCTCTCTCTCTCTGCCTCTCAAATACATTAAAAAAGCAATTTTTAAAAGACAAGTGAACCAGGCCGGCGCCGCGGCTCACTAGGCTAATCCTCCGCCTAGCGGCGCCGGCACACCGGGTTCTAGTCCCGGTTGGGGCGCCGGATTCTGTGCCGGTTGCCCCTCTTCCAGGCCAGCTCTCTGCTGTGGCCAGGGAGTGCAGTGGAGGATGGCCCAGGTGCTTGGGCCCTGCACCCCATGGGAGACCAGGAAAAGCACCTGGCTCCTGGCTCCTGGCTCCTGCCATCGGATCAGTGCGGTGCGCCGGCCGCAGCGCGCCGGCCGCGGCAGCCATTGGAGGGTGAACCAACGGCAAAGGAAGACCTTTCTCTCTGTCTCTCTCTCTCATTGTCCACTCTGCCTGTCAAAAAAAAAAAAAAAAAAAAAAAAAGACAAGTGAACCTCCTAAGTAATTTTGAATTCTTGTAGCTACATTAAAAAGAGTGGGAACAGTGCTGTGAATAAGGATTAAGCCTCTGCGTGCAGCGCTGGCATCCCATATGGGTGCCCCGTTCTAGTCCCGGCTGCTCCTCTTCCAATCCAGCTCTCTGCTATGGCCTGGGAAAGCAGTGGAAGATGGCCCAAGTCCTTGAACCCCTGTACCCACGTGGCAGACCTGGAAGAAGCTCCTGGCCCAGCTCCGGCTGTTGCAGCCATTTGGGAAGTCAACCAGCAGGAGGATGGAAAACCTTTTTCTCTGTCTCTCCCTCTCTCTATAACTCTACCTCTCAAATAAATAAATAAGTTTAAAAGGGGGGGGGCAAGTGTTGTGGCAGGTTAAGCCCCTGCTTGGGCTATCTACACCCCATTTCAGAGTTTCTGGCATCAAGTCCTGCCTCTGCTTCTGATTCAGCTTCCTGGAAGGCAGCAGATCATGGCCCAACTACTTAGGTCTGCCACCCACATGGGAGACCGAGATGGAGTTCCAGGCTCCTGGCCCAGAACTATTTGGGGAAATGGGATTTGCAGATGTGATTAAAGTAAAACCCTTGGGGCTGACGCTGTGGTGTAATAGGGTAAGCCTCTGCCTGTGGCACCATCATCCCATATGGGTGCCAGTTCATGCCCCAGCTGCTCCTCTTCCGATCCAGCTCTCTGCTTATGACCTGGGAAAGCAGTGGAAGATGGCCCAAGTGCTTGCGCCCCTGCACCCACCTGGGAGACCCAGAAGAAACTCCTGGCTCCTGACTCCTGGCTTTGGCCCAGCCCAGCCCTGAACATTCCAGACCTTTGGAAAAAGAACCAGTGGATGGAAGATCTCTCTCTCTCTCTCTTTCTCTCCCTCTCTCTTTTTCTCTCTCCCTCTTTTCTCTCTGTAATTCTACCACCAAATAAATATTTAAAATATACATAAATCCTCTATTAAATACCAGGCACTGCACTAGATGTAGCTGTGAGCAAGAGAGAACACGGTCTCCCGCCTTGTGGAGCTGCCAGTCTAGAAGGGAAAATGCAAATACACTTAATTGGAGCCAGGAGGATACAGACCTAACCCAGTGTGGGTGGTCAAGGACTCATCTAAGAATGCTGTTAAGGTTGGGATCTAAAAGAAGACTCAGAATTGGCAGGCGGGAAGATGAGGCAGGAAGGAGGGTGTCTGGGAGCTGGAACACCAAGTGCAAGCTTTTCAAAAGCAGTCAAGAATTCAAGGCATTTCAAGAACCAGAAATGAAAACAGTAAGGACTTTCCCATCAAGACAGCCAAGATCTTCCCCATTCCACCCTTTCAAAAGTCACCCAGAAATAACAAGAAGGGGAGAAAGCACCCAGAAACACCCACTTGGCCTTTACCGAGCTGGGGGTCACCCCAAACCACAGGGGACGAAATGGGAAACGGATGGCGCTAGTGAGGGAGGTGGCGGATGGAGGGAAGGTCAAGCTCCTCGCAGGAGGAGCCGGGCAGGCCACCCTGGGGAGCCCTGGAAAGACGCAGGTGTACGAGGCCAGTGAAGTGCAGAGGAAGGTTCAAGGAATTGAGGTGGATGCTTCCGAAGAGAGATTTGTTTGCATACGCTTTAATAAGTCATGAACTCCCTGCCTGCTCCATCTAATGGCCTCAAGTTACTACTTTTACCTCCAGAGGAACCAGGAAATGTCACCTCTGAGAATTCTAGGCATCACTCAGACTGAAAGTCCTGTATCTTAACTGAAAAGGGAGGAATCGGCTAATGCTGAAAAAGAAAACCCAGGCTTCTTCCCCCTGCTCAGACACAGGACTTCCCAGCCAGGTGACACTCTCTGGTAGAAGTAGAAAGGTGGGTGGGGATGTGGGGGAGGTGCTACTTCTGGGAGAACATGAGCCATGCCAGAAAAACAGCCACGGACTTTTGAAAGTCTCCATTCAAAAAGCCTGCAGTAAATTTCTTCAGTTGACCAGACTCAAACATACACTGTCAGAGACTCCAAATAAATCTTAGAGCACTTCTTAAAATACAAATGGACAGGGGGCCGGCACTGTGGTGCATCGGGTTAAAGCACCGGCCTACAGTGCCAGCATCCCATATGGGCACAGGTTCGAGCCCTAGCTGCTCCACTTCCAATCCAGCTCTCTGCTGTGGCCTGGGAAAGCAGTAGAAGATGGCCAAATGGCTGGCGCCGTGGCTCACTAGGCTAATCCTCCGCCTGCAGCACCGGGAGGAGGCACCTGGCTCCTGGCTTCGGATTGGTGCAGCGCCGGCCGTAGCACCATTAGGGGAATGAACCAATGGAAGGAAGACCTTTCTCTCTGTCTCTCTATCACTGTCTAACTCTGCCTGTAAAAAAAAAACTTTTTGAAACTTCGTTTTTCCAAGTCCTTGGGCCCCTGTACCCATGTGGGAGACCCAGAAGAAACTCCTGGCTCCTGGCTTTGGATCAGCTCAGCTCTGGCCATTGTGGTCATTTGGGGAGTAAACCAGCAGATGGAAGACCTCACTCTCTCTCTGGCTCTACGGCTCTACCTCTCTCTGTAACTCTGTCTTTCAAATAAATAATCCTTTATATATATATAAATATAAATGGACAAAAGGGCCTGTTTTAGAAGCACTGGGTTAAGGCACTGCCTGCGACGCCAGCATCCCATATGAGAGCTGATTGGAGTCTGGGGCTGTTCAACTTCCAATTCGGCTCCCTGCTAATGTGCCTGGGGAAGCATAGATCACCCAAGTCCTTGGGCCCCTGCACCCATGTGGGAGACCTGGAAGAAGCTCCTGGCTCCTGGCTTCAGCTTTGCCTAGTCCTGGCCATTGTGGCTATTTGGGGAGTGAACCAGCAAATGGAAGATCTCTTTCTTTGTAACTCTGCCTCCTAAATAAATAAATCTTTAATATATGTATATGTGTATATATATATATATATATATATGGACAAAAACCCCAGACACCAGAGGAAAGCCTTCAACATGAAATAAAGTAAAAAGCTACAACGTGGGAGAATTGGGGCAGGGGAGACAAGGAATCATGGGAAACAGATAATTCAGGGAGCATACAAATACTTGAAAGAAGCTAGGATATTGGCCGGCACCATGGCTCAATAGGCTAATCCTCCACCTAGCGGCACCGGCATACCGGGTTCTAGTCCCGGTCGGGGCGCCGGATTCTGTCCCGGTTGCCCCTCTTCCAGGCCAGCTCTCTGCTGTGGCCAGGGACTGCAGTGGAGGATGGCCCAAGTGCTTGGGCCCTGCACCCGCATGGGAGACCAGGAGAAGCACCTGGCTCCTGCCTTCAGATCAGCGCAATGCACTGGGCATGGCGGCCATTGGAGGGTGAACCAATGGCAAAAGGAAGACCTTTCTCTCTGTCTCTCTCTCTCACTGTCCACTCTGCCTGTCAAAAAAAAAAAAAAAAAAAAAAAAAAAAAAGAAGCTAGGATATCATCGGAGCAATGCCATGCCCTTAGGCGTTACCATTTCCCTCATGATGGTCGGGCTCTCTGGCTGCTGTGTCTCGCCAGCACCACAAGCGAATCATACCAGAAATTGCTAGCCCAGGAAAAGTTCAAACTCCAAAATGCCACATACAGTTTCTGCTGAATGTGTATCGCTTTTGGACTAGCATAGCTAAGACAAATAAAACACAGATTAAATCCAGTCAAACCATCGTAGGTCAGGGGCCACCTTTATCAATGATTGATTTTAATTAAAGATTTATTTGCTTATTTGAAAGGCAGTTACAGAGAGGCAGAGGCACAGAGAGGGGTCTTCCATCCACTGATTCACTCCCCAAATGGCCGCAATAGCCAGAGTTGCGCCAATCCGAAGCCAGGAGCCAGGAGCTTCTTTCTGGTCTCCCATGCAGGGACCCCAGCACTTGGGCCATCTTCCACTGCTTTCCCAGGCCATAGCACAGAGCTGGATCGGAAGTGGAGCAGCCGGGACTCAAACTGGCACCCATATGGGATGCTGGCACTGTAGGCAGCAACTTTACCCACTACACCACAGAGCCAGCCCCAACAGTGATTCTTAAAAATTATGTGCCTGAACTAGTTTAGTGAAAATTAAAAAAATAATTTTTAAAAGAAGCAAGACA